GATGTCAGAGGAAACCCCAAAGAGATACAGGTATTAGCCATTGTTCACAGCATGTCGGCTTGATGTCAGAGGAAACCCCAAAGTGATACAGGTATTAACCACTGTTAACAGCATGTCCGCTTGATGTCAGAGGTAATCCAAAATTGTTACAGGTATTAGCCATTGTTCACAGCATGTCAGCTTGATGTAAGAGGAAACCCCAAAGTGATACAGGTATTAGCCATTGTTCACAGCATGTCAGCTTGATGTAAGAGGAAACCCCAAAGTGATACAGGTATTAACCACTGTACACAGCATGTCGACTTCATGTCAGAGAAAACCCCAAAGTGATACAGGTATTAACCATTGTAAACAGCATGTCCGCTTGATGTCAGAGGAAATCCCAAATCGTTACAGGTATTAGCCATTGTTCACAGCATGTGAGCTTGATGTAAGAGGAAATCCCAAAGTGTTACAGGTATTAGCCATTGTTCACAGCATGTCAGCTTGATGTAAGAGGAAAGCCCAAAGTGATACAGGTATTAGCCGTTGTTCACAGCATGTCAGCTTGATGTCAGGGGAAACCCCAAAGTGATACAGGTATTAGCCGTTGTTCACAGCATGTCGGCTTGATGTAAGAGGAAATCCCAAAGTGATACAGGTATTAGCCATTGTTCACAGCATGTCGGCTTCATGTCAGAGAAAAACCCAAAGTGATACAGGTATTGGCCATTGTTCACATCATGTCGACTTCATGTCAGAGGAAACCCCAAAGTGTTACAGGTATTGGCCATTGTTAACAGCATGTCGGCTTGATGTCAGAGGAAAGCCCAAAGTGATACAGGTATTAGCCACTGTTCACATCATGTCGGTTTCATGTCAGAAGAAACCCCAAAGTGACACAGGTATTGGCCATTGTTAACAGCATGTCGGCTTGATGTAAGAGGAAATCCCAAAGTGATACAGGTATTAGCCATTGTTCACAGCATGTCGGCTTCATGTCAGAGAAAAACCCAAAGTGATATAGGTATTAGCCATTGTTAACAGCATGTGCGTTTGATGTCAGAGGTAATCCAAAATTGTTACAGGTATTAGCCATTGTTCACAGCATGTCAGCTTGATGTCAGAGGAAACCCCAAAGTGATACAGGTATTAGCCATTGTTCACAGCATGTCGACTTCATGTCAGAGAAAACCCCAAAGTGTTACAGGTATTAGCCATTGTTCACAACATGTCGGCTTCATGTCAGAGGAAACCCCAAAGTGTTACAGGTATTGGCCGTTGTTCAAAGCATGTCGGCTTCATGTCAGAGGAAACCCCAAAGTGATACAGGTATTAGCCGTTGTTCACAGCATGTCAGCTTGATGTCAGGGGAAACCCCAAAGTGATACAGATATTAGCCATTGTTAACAGCATGTCGGCTTCATGTCAGAGGAAACCCCAAAGTGTTACAGGTATTAGCCATTGTTCACAGCATGTCTGCTTGATGTCAGAGGAAACTCCAAAGTGATACAGGTATTAGCCACTGTTCACATCATGTCGGCTTCATGTCAGAAGAAACCCCAAAGTGATACAGGTATTAGCCATTGTTCACAGCATGTCGGCTTCATGTCAGAGGAAATCCCAAAGTGATACAGGTATTGACCATTGTTCACAGCATGTCAGCTTGATGTAAGAGGAAACCCCAAGGTGATACAGATATTAGCCATTGTTCACAGCATGTCCGCTTGATGTCAGGGGAAATCCCAAAGTGATACAGGTATTAGCCATTGTTCACAGCATGTCGGCTTCATGTCAGAGAAAAACCCAAAGTGAGATAGGTATTAGCCATTGTTAACAGCATGTGCGTTTGATGTCAGAGGTAATCCAAAATTGTTACAGGTATTAGCCATTGTTCACAGCATGTCAGCTTGATGTCAGAGGAAACCCCAAAGGGATACAGGTATTAGCCATTGTTCACAGCATGTCGACTTCAAGTCAGAGAAAACCCCAAAGTGTTACAGGTATTAGCCATTGTTCACAACATGTCGGCTTCATGTCAGAGGAAACCCCAAAGTGTTACAGGTATTGGCCGTTGTTCAAAGCATGTCGGCTTCATGTCAGAGGAAACCCCAAAGTGATACAGGTATTAGCCGTTGTTCACAGCATGTCAGCTTGATGTCAGGGGAAACACCAAAGTGATCAAGATATTAGCCATTGTTAACAGCATGTCGGCTTCATGTCAGAGGAAACCCCAAAGTGTTACAGGTATTAGCCATTGTTCACAGCATGTCGACTTCATGTCAGAGGAAACTCCAAAGTGATACAGGTATTAGCCACTGTTCACATCATGTCGGCTTCATGTCAGAAGAAACCCCAAAGTGATACAGGTATTAGCCATTGTTCACAGCATGTCGGCTTCATGTCAGAGGAAATCCCAAAGTGATACAGGTATTGACCATTGTTCACAGCATGTCAGCTTGATGTAAGAGGAAACCCCAAGGTGATACAGATATTAGCCATTGTTAACAGCATGTCCGCTTGATGTCAGGGGAAATCCCAAAGTGTTACAGGTATTAGCCATTGTTCACAACATGTCAGCTTGATGTAAGAGGAAACCCCAAAGTGATACAGGTATTAGCCGTTGTTCACAGCATGTCGGCTTGATGTCAGAGGAAACCCCAAAGTGTTACAGGTATTAGCCGTTGTTCACAGCATGTCGGCTTGATGTCAGAGGAAAGCCCAAAGTGATACAGGTATTAGCCACTGTTCACATCATGTCGGTTTCATGTCAGAAGAAACCCCAAAGTGATACAGGTATTGGCCATTGTTAACAGCATGTCGGCTTGATGTAAGAGGAAATCCCAAAGTGATACAGGTATTAGCCATTGTTCACAGCATGTCGGCTTCATGTCAGAGAAAAACCCAAAGTGATACAGGTATTGGCCATTGTTCACATCATGTCGACTTCATGTCAGAGGAAACCCCAAAGTGATACAGGTATTAGCCATTGTTAACAGCATGTGCGTTTGATGTCAGAGGTAATCCAAAATTGTTACAGGTATTACCCATTGTTCACAGCATGTCAGCTTGATGTAAGAGGAAACCCCAAAGGGATACAGGTATTAGCCATTGTTCACAGCATGTCGACTTCAAGTCAGAGAAAACCCCAAAGTGTTACAGGTATTAGCCATTGTTCACAACATGTCGGCTTCATGTCAGAGGAAACCCCAAAGTGTTACAGGTATTGGCCGTTGTTCAAAGCATGTCGGCTTCATGTCAAGAGGAAACCCCAAAGTGATACAGGTATTAGCCGTTGTTCACAGCATGTCAGCTTGATGTCAGGGGAAACACCAAAGTGATAAAGATATTAGCCATTGTTAACAGCATGTCGGCTTCATGTCAGAGGAAACCCCAAAGTGTTACAGGTATTAGCCGTTGTTCAAAGCATGTCGGCTTCATGTCAGAGGAAACCCCAAAGTGATACAGGTATTAGCCATTGTTCACAGCATGTCGGCTTCATGTCAGAGGAAACCCCAAAGTGATACAGGTATTAGCCATTGTTCACAGCATGTCAGCTTGATGTCAGAGGAAACCCCAAAGTGATACAGGTATTAGCCATTGTTCACAGCATGTCAGCTTGATGTCAGAGGAAACCCCAAAGTGTTACAGGTATTAGCCATTGTTCACAGCATGTCAGCTTGATGTAAGAGGAAACCCCAAAGTGTTACAGGTATTAGCCATTGTTCACAGCATGTCGGCTTGATGTCAGAGGGAACCCCAAAGCTTGAGCCATTGTTCACAGAGGAAAGCATGTCAGCTTCATGAGGAAACCCCAAAGTGATACAGGTATTAGCCATTGTTCACAGCATGTCAGCTTCATGTCAGAGAAAACCCCAAAGTGATACAGGTATTAGCCATTGTTCACAGCATGTCAGCTTGATGTCAGAGGAAACCCCAAAGTGTTACAGGTATTAGCCATTGTTCACAGCATGTCAGCTTGATGTCAGAGGAAACCCCAAAGTGTTACAGGTATTAGCCATTGTTCACAGCATGTCAGCTTGATGTCAGAGGAAACCCCAAAGTGTGGTACTGGTATTAGCCATTGTTCATAGTATTTCGGCTTGATGTAAGAGGAAACCCCAAGGCGTTACAGGTATTAGCCATTGTCCACAACATGTTAGCTTGATGTCAGAGGAAACCCCAAAGTGTTACAGGTATTAGCCATTGTTCACAACATGTCAGCTTGATGTCAGAGGAAACCCCAAAGTGTTACAGGTATTAGCCATTGTTCACAACATGTCAGCTTGATGTCAGAGGAAACCCCAAAGTGTTACAGGTATTAGCCATTGTTCACAGCATGTCAGTTTGATGTTAGAGGAAACCCCAAAGTGTTACAGATATATGTCATTGTTCAAATTATGTCAGCTTGATGTCAGAGGAAACCCCAAGGCATTACATGTATTAGCCATTGTCCACAACATGTCAGCTTGATGTTAGAGGAAAACCCAAACTGTTACAGGTATTAACCATTGTTCACAACATGTCAGCTTGATGTAAGAGGAAACCCCAAAATGTTACAGGTATTAGCCATTGTTCACAACATGTCAGCTTGATGTTAGAGGAAACCCCAAAGTGTTACAGGTATTAGCCATTGTTCACAACATGTCAGCTTGATGTTAGAGGAAACCCCAAAATGTTACAGGTATTAGCTTTTGTTCACAGTATGTCACAAAATGCAACTCTGCACAGCAAGTTGGTGCACAGCTGTGCCATCTGACCCAATATAGAACAATGTTTATAGATAACAACTTCTTTATTTCGTGAGTGAGACCTTTCGATACAGATTCTTGTACCGTTGTCAAGCAAGAGACGGTACAAGAATCTGTATCGAAACATCGCACTCACGAAATAAATAAGTTGTTATCCATAAAAATTGTTCTATATTGTATGTCTCAACTTCTAAAATGCCACTCAAACAAGTCATCTATGACCCACAATAAAGTACCTTGTGATAGTGCGTAGAAAAACAACAAACACGGTTGATGTTTAAACTATTTTATGGTGACAAAGCCAACACAAAATGCAACCTCCACTTTCAAGCTGTCTATTTACACTGTATGAAACTAACAGGACTACCTAACAGGAAACTTGAGCAAATATTGCAGGTATCTACAAACATGTTAACATTTTGATTAGATGACACAATTACTTCCTTTCTCATGTAATTGTTTTTTATTTGCTTATTGTCAGCAATACCACAGCAGTCTGCAAACAATGGAATTCTGGACCAGACAAACTAATGCTTAATTTCACAAGCTGCATCCCATCATTGGGCTATGAAAACAGAAAACCAATTCACCAAGCCTGATCATCCATAAGACCAGTCATAGGTTACTCAGGGACTGTTTACTCAGTGGATACTTTGAAGGGATACAGCTGAATCAAGTTTTATTCATAAAATATATTCCTGTATCAAAATATTACCTTCATCAACAAATATTTCTTTGTTAAAGCTTCCTGTTTTTCCTACATCAGAAGGTAACATTTCATTTGGGTTTACACACAATAAGAAACATTACTCCTCCACTAATGTGTCACTTGGTAGCTACACAGGATCACATATTCCCTTAAAACAATGAAATTACTATTAATAAGAAGTGTTCTCCAATAAATCATATGTGAAAACTTGCATAAAATATTTTGATTTTGGTCAATGAATGCAATGCTGGAGATGAATAAGTGGGTGAATTTTGCTTAATGATGCATCGGCAATTTGTGTAAACTGATAAACGTGAAAGCAAGTTTATTGCCTTTGTCAGCAACATCTCAGATACATCATTGCAGACAGCAAGATCAGATTACAAAGTGATATTAGCGCTACGATTTTCGTGAGTCTGCTTTAGTATGGGAGTTACTATCATCTTAGCACTAAGATCGCATTGTGATCATGAGTGTGCTAAACATTCAGATATCAGTATTCTAGCTATGTGGAGCCTGGTGGATAAAGCATTCGCTCATCACACCGAAGACCCGGGTTCGAGTACCCACATGGGTACAATGGGTGAAGCCCATTTCCGGTGTCACCCGCAGTGATATGGCTGGAATATTGCTAAAAAGCGACGCAAAACTAAACTCACTCACACTAGCTATGTATAATACCATTTCAAGGTAATACCGCCAAACTAGTTGTTAATGTTGTCAACACACTAAAACCAAGACTCTGTGCATCAAGAAGCTGTAATACTGCTAAGGTCAAGTAATGCAATAGCATCAAGGCAACGATCAAATACTACACAAGGATATCATCTTTTAAAAAATAGTCTATATACATTGCTATAAGTGTATTCATAACTATCTTCATTGACTCACTTAACTGAACTTCATACATAAATAGAATTGAAACAATTTGGAAATGGAGATTTGAACTCCTCTTGGGATAATATACTCTTATCATATTTATCAGGTAGAAACACAGAGTAAAAATCCAATTGCAATGTAAATAATTTATGTTCTTCTTGTAACAAAGAAAGACTAGCAATAACAAAATGATCTTGATATCGCTTGAACTTTTGTTTTACCAAGATTCAGCTATAAGATAATATGTACACATGTATAGGTTACTGATAAGCACCATATCAATTATTATGATAATCACTTCATCAACAGTATCAATTCATCACCTCAGACTATAAAAAACAATAAATATATTCAAAATATATACATCAACAGCAGTATCATATTTACAATGTATCATACATTAAAGAATCATCAGTTAACTTATTTATAAGTATTGCTAAAATAAAATCCAAAATGTGCATACAACAAAATTTTGTGCAGTTCTTGCAACATAGTTTGATAAATCAACAGGATTCTACAAGTCACGTTCTCAAACAAATGACATACAATGAATCTGGTTATGTAGCACTTTCAAACATGAGACAACAAAAGCAATGGATATAACACGCATCCACACATACATTCAGGTGACCATCGATGAGGGCACTCATTATACATAATGGAATCTCTTCTATGTGAGGTCAATCATCAACTTGACAGCATTGGTTTCGCCCTAAACAAATTGGTCTAGGTAGCAGTGAATGTGTCAGTCTACACTAGATGCCTAAGTAACTGTGGGAGTAAATGATACAAGCCAAGGTTGAAAAGGTCAGTCCAATGTCATGTTTATATCCATAAATGACTAAACAGAGTCAATCACAGATGCTTTCTCTCTTACAGAAAGGAGCAGAGGTGACGCTGCTGTGCAAAATAAAATGAAACTGGTGAGATGCAAACAATATTCCCATTCTGCGATCTGTGTTGACAATGGACGTATCTCTAAAGGAAATGCTGAGGAATGTGCTGGTTTCCAAGGCCACCAGTCACCTCGAAGCTGACACTCATGAAGGGGTGCCTACGGACTGGGGCGGAGGACACAGGCTTCATGTGGACAACACCTTGAGCGTCAGTGTACCTGTAACATGAAGCCATATGTTGCAGAGCAGGTATACAGGAATATACAAACACAGTTCAAGCCACAACAGGAATCCAATCATTTCTTATAGCATGCATGAGACTGACAGATGAAGATATATCTTGCATATGCAACTAGATAAGATCATTAACAGCAGGCAGTGTGCAACAGCCACGTTCATCAGCTTGCACAGATGCTATACCTGCTGTGCACATACTGTAAAGCTAGGTCATATTTCTCAAAGATCCTTAACAGAAATGAAAATAGGACTTAAAGTGAAGAAATATTTTCATGTATATGAAGAAATGAAAGATAAAGATTTTTCTACAAAGTCCTAGCAATGTTAGCACTTGAAAAGAATTATGAAGACCACCACCATTAAAGTTATCAGTACATTAATCAAACTTTGTTTATTCTAAGATTTCAATTTCAGTTCAGTTTTAACTTCCATACAGCTATTTCAGGAAAGATGATAATTTAAATATGCCAGTTAGTATTAGGAGTAAAAGTACAATGACAATGGGAAAAGCATGAAAGCAAAAATGTTAGTTACAAACTATTATCTGCAATAGGTAGCAGGATTACAAATTTCCTGAAAAACAAACCAGAACTACTTAATCCAAGAAAAAATGTAAAATCATTCCTGAGACACATTTTATTACTCTAACATTTATGTAAGGTTTCATTCTATGAAATGAAAAAGGAGCAATATAATACAGTTAGAAACAGTGATGTGAGCTTGTCAAAACTATTTTGACATATAAGCAGACTATATAACAATCCTAAGCATTTAACAAAATATGTATCTCAAATTATAAACTAACCATGCTAACTACAACCTATAACTCCAACTTATTCCATTTGCTGTATATTCTTTTCGAGACAGGACAAGTTTCCACACCATGATGTAAGGACCTTTCTCGATGTGAAAATGTTACAGTGAATGGAATCAATGCAGCCAGTCTGCATGAAAAACCTGTTAGAACTATGTATCCTTGGCCTTAAGACTGTACTAGATCTGTATGTTACGTAGGCTAGGCCCACAACTGCAACTTACGAGGGCTCCCTGGGTTAGACACCCTGTCAAGTTCAAACCAACAATTACTGATCATTTGTCAAGCTGCGAACCACAATCCATACAATTGTTGTCAACAGATATTGACAAAGTTTCACATGTTAAATGGGACATGAAATTTGCTGAAAGCCTCTCTTCCATAACACATGATGAAAATGGCATGAAGAAGGTTTACTCACATAGGAATCCATACCCATGTGACAAGATGTGTTAGTGTATGATTTAAGTGAGTGACTGAGTAGGGTTTTACGTCGCTTTTAGCAATATTCCAGCAATATCACGGCGGGGGACACCAGAGATGGGCTTCACACACTGTCCCCATGTGGGGAATTGAATCTGGGCCTTCAGCGTGACGAGTGAACGCTTCAACCACTGACCTATCCCAGTGTATGACTTAAATACTCAATACTAAAGAAAGAGCTCTAAAAAATTACCCGATTGAAATTCTTGTTAGAAAAAACGAAGGAAAAAAACACAAATTACCAGCCTTCATTTATCTGAGCTGTGCATTTTAACTTCAGATATGTACCAACTTGAAAGCCTTTTGAGAAAAATACATCAATGCTGATGAAACAGTTACACTTTGCCATGGCACTTTTCTATGATACTTCAACAACACAATCTTGCTGCACTGTTTCCATCTATTGAAAAATAATAATATTCAATTGAAATGATGAATTGAAGTAATTACAACATGGACCTGAACGTATTTGTTAAGGCAGACACTGATTTCTTTACGAAGCACCAGTTCGAAAAGTTTTGCTCCAAAATGAAACCTCATTTGTTGTATGTCTGATTTGATTATCAAAATTAACAAACTGTAATGGACAATAGAATGATTATGATCATAAAAAAAGAACTCATTCATTTGCTTCTATGACAAACAACCAAACCCCAAACTGCTTAGCTTCAGCTATTTCTAACACAAGTTACTCATTTGTCAAACACTGTTTTACTCAAGTAACCATGGTGACTGCATCTGAATGACGTGTGGTCTCCAAAGGAAACCCTACGTCTCACAGGGAAGTTTGAGTTCTATTATTACTAGTTCTGGCATCACTCAGAGTGAAGAATGTTGTTCTATTGCAAAACAAGAACAAAAATAATCTCTACACAAAGTGCAGCACCCAAACCAGGCCTTGAGTACCAGGAATGCAAATGCATTGGGGGATAAATTACTAACATCATTGCAAAACAGATTCAGATTGAATGAAGAAGATCCTCCAGCTTATTAGATACTTAGAAACTATGTCATCCATGCCATGAAGTATGATAACACATGACCACCAATTCTACTAAGATGCCTCTTGGACAAGTAAAGCTTTGTGTGGCTTATCCTAACACAGAATCCTGGTATGATTCTATCATCATACATAACAGGGATATTGCTTTGTGTACACAAAAACCAACAAGGGCTATCACTTCCCACAATAACTGACTGACTGACTGAGTTTGGTTTTATGCCGCCTTTAGCAATATTCCAGCAATATCACGGCAGGGGACACCAGAAATGGGCTTCACTCATTGTACCCATGTGGGGATTCGAACCCGGGTCTTCGGCGTGACAAGCCAATGCTTTAACCACTAGACTACACCCCGCCAACCCCCCCTAATCCCCTAACTAATCCCAGGTGATGTTTTCATTGTCAAACCTTTTTCCCAGACCGCGATTCCGCTATACAGCACTGTGCATATCCATGCTGAATTAAAATGTGAAAAGATCCACACGTTTTAAGTTGCTCAGTGTGCCATGACTACAATTGTTATTGACATCTGTCAAAGTGAAATTCACATCACATCGTCAATAATGCAGGGCATGCATCAAACATGCTATATATGAGCAGCAACCAGGTGGGATATTGGGTGTTAGAGAAATGAATGTCGTTACATACAAACACATATCAAGATGATCCGAAGGCACTAAAAGTTGCCTCCCTTTGTCTCATGATATAAGATTGGGGGATTTCAGGAAATCTGAAAACAAGATTATGGGTTCAAGCATTCAAATCAAATTTCAAACTTGGGCTTTGGGATCAAAACAGATTATTTTCATGCTTTCAACACACTTAGAGTGCAATAACATCCAATGGGAAAATAGTGTGGGGATTAGTCTCAATATATGGAAGGACTATGATCCATGATTTCAGAAAAAGTGTTTTTTGTATTTTTGAGGAAACAAAACAATAAATGTTATAAAAAGAGTGTGTTCATAGTTTTAGGGAGAAATTTCCTTGCTACAATGTGTATCATAAGAAAAAACTGAAAGTTATGATGTTAATTTTGTGTGAAAATGAATTATGTTGTGCAGAGACATGAAATATTGTGTAGGATTGGTCTTGAAAAGAAAAACATTCACAAAGCTGCAAATATGGTCACAACCATTTAAAATCTAAAACAGAATCTGAGAAACTTTTCAAAAGTTTTCAACTAAACAAAATTTTCTTCTTAGTTAAATCATTTTTGACTAAATATAATCAGCTCACAGTTCATATCTCTCTAATATGTAAACAATAATAAAACTGCATATTGCCCACTTTAATTCCATCGAGCATGCTAATTACAGTATCTGTATTTTATTCCTATTTGCCCTGTCATGCCAGTTCAAGTACTTATCCAATAAACAAATAGGCTGGTTGGTCATAATCCTTCCACAGCTGGGGGCAAGGGAAAAGGGAAGTAACTGGGTTGTTCAGCGGCAACAGTTCACTCAACATACCTCATCAAAGATAGCAAACTCTTGTAAATTTCTGAAGTAAATCAGAAACTCATAGATTTGCTTTGTTTCTATATCCTGGCTCTGAACACAGAGATGCAAATGAACAAAGTGGCTTATATTGGTCAAAATCACACATTTTAAATTATGCACTGTGACAAATATAACCCTAAAATCCGATCTCAAAAAAGAAAGATTCCAATTACATATTAACTGTCTACTGAACCATTCTAACCATGGTCTGATCAATTACAAATTTCAAATATTTCAAATATTTTACCTCAGGTATTATTTTTAATTATTAATGCAAGCATCAATTCTAAACCAATAATTTGTTGAAAAGGTAAGAAAAGCATTTATGCGCTTTTAAAGCAAAAACTTTATGAAACATTTTCTGAAATAAATCACCGTCTAACACACTTACTTGGCACGAAGCACACCGCTGCGGGTTTTACTTGCACGGTTGTTGACAGTAGTGTTGACAGTGTTGTCAGACATGTTGTTTTTAGCCAACAACTCATCGAACTGTTTCCGTGGTAATCCTAGTGAAATAGTAACAGTTATGTTTAACAACAAAATAAACAGCCTTCCCAATGATTTTTCCCCATTTTCTTTTCTATCTACTGGTATTACAACATTGCAAAAGTAATTTTTAACAAGATCAAGAAAGCACCCGTTATTGCAACAGATAAGACATATATACCAATGCCATTGTTTTACTGCAAAAGTATGCCAAATCTTATCAATTTAACTTAATAAATTAAGGATCAATATTGCAAAATGAAAAGAAGAAAATTCGATGAAATATTATTCCCTTATTATCCAATTACTGCAATATGACTGAATCTATAGTCAATAGTCATGCAATATTAATTGTTAAGTCACTCAGTTCTTACTCCATTCATCTTTCATATTAACGGTGTAATTAACATAATTACCATTTCCGGAAGCTGAACACAACACGTGTTGAGATAATAAACTATGTACACCAACAAAATCAAGTCAAAGAGTTCACATATGTACCTGGCATCAAATATCCAGGAATGCTGGAACTCTTTGGTGGGCCTTTCACTGGAGGGAGATCCTTGTGGCCTGCAGCGGAATACATGGCTTTACACAGTAATGTGTTGTGACATCACACATGAGCTAATAATTCATAATGCTTGCAGAAAAGACAGTCGTACTAACCACTGACTGACTGACTGAGTTTGGTTTTACGCCGCTTTTAGCAATATTCCAGCAATATCACGGCGGGGACACCAGAAATGGGCTTCACACATTGTACCCATGTGGGGATTCGAACCCGGGTCTTCGGCGTGACGAGCAAACGCTTTAACTACTAGGCTACCCCACCGCCCCCGTACTAACCACAATGCAATGTACTTCCACTCAGCAGTTTTACACTTACACCATATTAAATGTGACAATATTGTCACATATGCACAATTTGGTCAACTGATATTTCCATCGGCAATCAGGTTCACTGTTTCACCTGCACGAGGAACTTTTGTCAGAAATACATTATTAGTTGTTCTTCCATTCTCAGTTACTTACTTTCAACTTTACATGCTACATACTCTACCCAAACCATGCCCAAGATCATCCTATCTACAGCTATACATACAACATTCTTCTCATACAGCCATACATTTAGCTTGTATAGTGTCACACATATGACATTCATAACATAACTCTGAGCTTTGGATATGACAGAAATAGCATTACAACACAGATAATTACAACACAGAACTTCAGGGCAGATGCATACTATCAAGACATTTAAAAAATATATATTACAGAATGTCTTTAATATGGTACCACATACACCATGTAGAATGTAGTGGCAATGTAATATCTTGCCAATGTATCAGTAAGTTCTTAATGTCTATGCTGAATCAATACAAGTTCAAGAATATCGATACAAAGTTATGAACATCTACACTAAAAATCATTAACACTAACAAGGCTAAGATGGACAATGTGAAGGCATGGCATTCAGTTTTAAACATTTTAGGGGGTCAATCTTGTTCTTAATGAGCATAGACTAATTTGACTTCTGGCTCCGATTTCTCGAAACAAACTTAAGTTTTTACTCAAATTTCAAACTGAGTTTGACAATTAGAAACAGCTGAATTTTTAAGCCCAAAGAACTTAAGTAATCTATCCATCAAACTCAAATTGTTTACTATGTTTGAGTTAAATATCGATTTCAGTTTATTCTGGGAAATGCATTTTCCGGCATTGTCTCAAATTTGAGTAAAAACTCTAACTTAAGTCAAAACTCAGAATTAAGTGTGTTTCGAGAAATCTGGTGTAGATGGTTGTTTTTTATCGAAATAATATACAGATTAATATGAGATATGAATACATATCATACAATTTTGAATTGATGGATACTCAAATATTTTGGATACACATACAATATATTGCTTACAACAGAAAGCAATTCCAAATTAACTGACATTCAGATTAAGATATATACTCAGTGTTATTTAGGAGTCACACAGATACTAAGAGATAAAGGTATTCCAGAAACATTGCATATTCAACTTACTAGAGTACAATCTGCAATGAATAGTGTATACCCAAAATGAATGTTACTTCTACTGTATCCCACATGAATGGTTCACCTGATGGTGGCATTCTGGTATGTGTTCTGGGTAGCTTTTTTATCACCTTAAAAAAACAGTTTGCTTTTTTCCAAAATTGTTGTCCATTCTTTTCAGCTTGATAAAGCACCCAATCAGTGTGCCTAAACCAGTAGGTATAAGCAACATGTTCTTCGGGTGTTTATCTTAATGTCAACATACTCGGAGCCATTATCACTCATTTCATGTTTCCATATCTGACCCAATTAAACACCTTGGGGATCCTTCAGCAATGAGTATGTAGAATGTGGATTTAAGAGAGGATAATAACATCATGGTTATCACACATCCCATATAAACATTGAAAATAAGAAATAATTAAGGCCAGACCAATTTTATTTCTTGTTTTACGGATTTTTGTCCTCAGAAAAGCTAAAGGCAGGAGGGAAAAAAATAAAAAATAAAAATCACTAGTCAAAATAATTTTCCTTTTAAATACTAAAGTTATTTTATTTTTGGCCGTTTATGAAGTTTTATATGGGTAAAAAAACAATCAAAAAATCTTTTTGGGGTATGTTTACATTTTTGGTCAATGAATACTTGAGGATTCTATTTTTTGAGTGGGGATAATTAATTTTTATTCTTGAAAAAATACGACCGGCGGATCCGTAAAACAAGAAATATAATTGGTCTGGCCGAAGAGATGATAAAAATGAGACATTTACAAACAGATATAAGCTATGTATATTCCTGTGCAGCTTATGAAGCTGCACAGGAATATGATACCTGGCACTACAATGATCGAAAGCTGAGACAATGTAGAGAAGATACTGGCACAAGCATTTATTTTACTGCACTTGCAACTTACAATCATTTACTCTACAGAACAAATTGAAGGCATTAGCACTAAGCACACTAACTACTGAATGCTCTTCATAATGAGAAAATTCTTGTTGATTGCTGCAGTGTTTGTTAATACTGCAACTACTCCCCCAAAACTTGTGTTTTGGGTAAGATAGATACGGTTTGTAATTCTTAATTAATAATACTTGTTAGTTATTTGTAATTTTTTCAAAATTGAAGGTCAAAACATCTGCAACAATGATAATATAAAGAAACTTTAAGAACAGTTTTCTTGACTGCTATTTCCAGCTGTGATATAAACATCTAGGTTGTCAAGTGAAACAATGGTTCAATGATGTTACCTGAAACACAAGTTTTAGGGCTGGGGGAGGAGATAAGGCAGCATGCTAATGCCTTTTATGTTCCAGATTTCTTTACCCAGGAATCTCTTTGATGAAGAAGAACCAGCAAAACATCATCTTATGTCAGTTTTCACAGTATATTGAAACAAACTACTATTACACTTAGTACAGTTCAAAACTACATAAGTTTACAACTTCGCTAAAGTTTTTCAGAAAATTAGTTCAGATATTATATGTTAATACTCTAAGGACACAAAGCTTCCACACATATAAGATAGTCATTTATCATTAACTAGACCAGGCTGTAACCCTCTACAACAAACTATACAGTTATCTAATTATACATTGTACTCCTGTGAAGTAGCTTAAGATCAACATAACCTACTCATGACTGCAGCTGACCACCTACTACAGCTGCCTGTACTTACCATCTAATGCATCATCCTCATCCTCATCTTTCTTTGTAACAACTGGAGAAATGTACACATTTCAAAATTCTATGTTTTGTATAAAAACACAAATCGAGCACCAGAATATCTAAGCTCAAACACAAAGCAAGAAAAACAAATACAAACCCCAAAGTTCAACAACAAATCTACATTTATAGATACGTTTCTTCAACTATGAAAATATCCTCACCCATGGAACATTTCAAGAAAATTAAGCTGACCACTGCAAATTATCCTATTCTTTGCATGGATCATGTTGATGGAAAGAAGTCATGTAATGTTCATGTAATGTAACAAAGTGAGGACAGTCCAGTCATATATTTCTTCCCAGTTTCTTCACACAGTGGTGATAAATATTGCAAACTATAAACAGTACATGAACATACATAAAAAGGCTCTAAATATGCTCACTGGTGCAAAACAGAGTTATGGTGAAATTCCTTGCTTCGTGATTGTCATGGAAACATCAACATGGCCTTGCATCGACCCATCCAAAGATGTCTTATTATTCTCAGAGCTTTTACTTTTACTTACCATGGGCATCGGTCATGTCCGTCATCATTGTTCCTTTGCGAAGGAGTTCATCTCGCTTTCTTTTCTGCGTCTCTTTGCTGGCATGCCAGTTGCACAAAAACTGACGAGACGTTTCAGTGATCTCCTTTCCATCTAGCATCTCTGTAGACATCCATTTTACAACCATCATTACATAAAACTTCATAATGAACCATCAACATTCTTCTGAGTTACCTACTCAGGAAATCAAGTTTGAAAGGTCTGAGGATATTTTAGTCAATGAAGAGTTATCCCCCCCTGAATATCTTTTGGTATTTCTTTCAAGCCAACTGTTGATAAATTTTCATTTAATATTTTGATTTACACATTTTCTAACTGCTGATCACAAATAATACAAACTAATACTAATATAAGAGACAAGAATGTCAAAGTGAAGATGGCTCCGAATTACCTAAATGCTTAGACATGACAATAATTCTGTCCCTGTACTTTGCCTTGTGACACACTGGGTTGCCCATCAGCTCCAGTCTCCATAGGAATGGCCACAGTCCTAGTATATGAGCAAGCTCCTTCATGTCATTGAGGAAGTTATCACTGGCCATCATCTGAGTGATACCCTTCAAAACCTCCAGATCCTTGATGCTGTCCAGGTTATTGCCTGATATGTTGAGCACTTGTAGAGTGTTCTGGAAGTAAAGTCACATAATACCAACAACAAACTGACTCTGAATGGTCAATCATGCCTACAAAACACTGGAAAATAATGTCCATGCATTTTATTGACAAAAGTTAAAAATAATCTATTACATTTTCAAATTATTTGAAATCAGTAAATAAACTTAAAATACCTGGTAGTAAGATCTTATGTGGATGTAAATACAACGAATATGACTTCCAAGGAGTGAAACTAAACTCATGGGCAAAAGAAAGTGAACACTTTGTATTTTGAATTTTTGGCAAAGTTGTCCAAGTTAGTAAAATCCTTTTAGGCCGAAACGGCCAGGTGAGAAGATGACCACGGCCCCAGCAAACAGACAAGAACTTGAAGACCCTCTCAGGACCGAGTGGAATAGCATTCCGAATGACATAATTCGGCAGATGACGACATCGATGAGACGGCGAGTCGGGGCGTGTATTGCTGCTAGAGGTGGTCATACTCGTTACTAAGGATGTGTATGCGTGACCAGAGACTTGAAATGATGGAGACATTCCATGATTGACTCTTGTTGTATCTGTGAACTGTGATAGTCCTACCCCTCTGTTCATTACATGACACGTGCTCTATATCTGTGAGGAGTTTATCATAGACACTGTGGGTGCATTGTCCCAAATGCTGGCTTCATTAAATGTACTATAACTTAAAAACACTATATGTTTTGCTTTGATTTTATCGATCATTAATAAGGGTGTTCCCTTTCTTTTGCCCACTAGTTTATTTGAACTCAGTAAACAAACTTAAAATACCAGGTGGTCAGATCTTCTGTGGATGCAACAACAACGAATATGACTTCCAATGGTTGAAAGTATGGAAGGTATACAGAGGCCCCGATAAGCTGCGTATCCGGGCAAAATACGCATAGAAAATGTCCAATTATGCATTGAAAAATAATTGTTGCATACTAATTACACATTTAAAATGTTAGATACGCAAAATGTTTAAAACAAATGAGTATGGAATATATTTATAAAAATCACTTGCGTAATGAAAAAGACATCGATTGCTATCAAGTTGTACTGTTAGTATAGGACTAGTGTTGTACTGTCAGTATAGGAGGAGTGATTTTTTATGAAATCATTTCCATTATATTAAGTTGGTTTTGATTAGGTATGACATAAGGCAGAACATACCTGCTTAGTAAACTTACTCAATGACATAATACTTAGGTGAGTAAAATGACTGAAATACGCACATATTTGAAAGCAGTGGGTAACGGAAAATGAAACACCCACTCAGCATTCATATTACCCACTCCCAAAAAATACAGTAGATACAGTACCCACATGAGCTAAATCTTATCTGGAGCTCTGGGTATATATGTAACATGACATGCATCCATTCTCTGGCAACTAAGAGAGCTGTCAAGGCAGTAATCAGATTGTGACTTCTGAGAACACTGAATAGGTGTATCATGGTGTTGGGAAAAGCGGACCCTTATGGATAGGGCTGTAACGATGCATCGAACTATAGATGGATTGCTATTGTTGAGTCTCTGATAGCAATTAATCGATGGTTGAAATGAAAAACTATCGATGCGTTGATAGTATGTGTGACTACCGATAGTTTAGTAATTGACTTTCGTTATAAATGCACAGCACAAAATCCAGGAAGTACCAGATTCGTTCACTTTGAGTTATGTGTTACCTTTTTAACACACTTGATCTGGGTGTCAAGTTTCTTGTCAGTTATTAAAAGAGATTGAAACTACTTCCGTTTGTTTTTATTTCATATAAACTACACATTCATTTGGGAAATGACTTCAAATGAGACAATTCAAGGAGAACAAACTACTGCAATAGTTGGTTGTAATAGTATGTTGGAATAGACTATCGCTATCGTAATAGTTGTTTCCCCCTCAATACTCACCCCTACTTATGGAGCAAGGTAAGCTGAAGTTATACACATTAAGTATATGGGACAATATGAGCATGTCATTTCACACACATTTTGCCAATGTCAATGTAAATTGTGATTACTAAATGAAATTTGGGCTGAATTCAATACAATCAAATCGAATGAACGATGACCAAGTCCCAAATCCATTGAGATCATCATGCGGTAAGGAGGAGTGAGTGTCATGCAAACATAGTAAACATTCTGATGATCGTATGTCATAATGATAAAGTTGTCTCTTATAAGTCAATGCAATATTTCACAGCTGTTCATGGGATTAGCAAGAAAACAAATGTTTCTTAAACAACTTAAAAGCCATAATACAAGGATATACAATCGACACATTTTATTAGCATCCAAACTGAACCATGTTAGTTGCATTCGGTACAAATTTGTTGAAGTACTATTTTCGATTTGATAACATGTAGATGTGTGATAATTTTTTAGGGAAAATATCTATGGGAGCCATTGATTACCCAAAGATATATCACAAAGGGCATTTTGCGAGGGATGAAAGTATATACAGTACTATACAGCCATGCAGTATAACACAAAGCTCCATTATCCCTATATTTTCTGTGTAGGATAAAGCATGACTCCGAGGTTATGGTTGGGAAAGTAAGACCCGAGACCGGAGGGTGGGGAGAAGTAAGACCGAGAGCGCATACAGCTCGAGGTCTTTCTTCTATCCACCCGATGGTCGAGGGCTTACTTTCCCAACCATAACCGAGGAGTGCTTTATTATACATATAAACCGTCAATAATTAGATGATCATGTAATGAAGCTACATAACAGTAACTAAAGGGCTAGTAAAATCAATTTAATGACAGTAGGCCTAACTATAAATTCAACCCTGGCTTCTTTGTTGGCCCGGTGGGTGCTCAATAACTTGATAGATGCGGTTCCAATCCAGCTAGGGAAAACATTTGCACATTAAAGTTGATCTTTGACGATATTTTATAATTGATTTCAAGCACTCACATATCATCTGAATTTGAATGTTGATGTACTATAGAGTTAGGAAAAAGTAAAACCTGGGAAGAGGTCTTACTTACAAAAAGTAAAACCGGGAAATAGGTCTTACTTACAAAAAGTAACACCTGGGAGCAAACAAAAACCTCAAATGCAGTTATTCCGGGAAAAGAAGCCATGTCTAATATATAGTGAGCAGCACCCTTCAGGTTTATATGTTACAGGAACACCGGAGGCTCATGTACTTACAGCAAGAGTTCTGAGTGACCTGGGGTCAAACAGCAGCTTCTCCCCTGGGGGCAGTTGCTGGTTCTCCACATGCAGCTCCTGAAGTTGGTCCAGCTTCTCTAGCCCCTCCACAACCGTGATGTTGTTGCCACCGATGTAGCTGAAACACACATGACACATGGGTTTACACCACTGGTCATAACCAACTAGTGAGCAGTGCATTTTAGACAAGTGACTCAAGCAAAATAGCTACATTTGTGGACAAAACAACTAGGCTTTCCAGATTTTATCTAGTCTTTGACTAATGAATTAATGGTCATGTCATGGCATCACACAGTGACTTAGTCAGATGGTTTGCCTCTACACCACTCGTGTTCTAGCCATATCATGGGTATGGGCAATCAAGACTGGCTCCACTGTTTTAAATAAAACCCACTGTAAAGTTCATAGATTATACTCTTTTAATTAATAACAGGAAACAGATTATATCACTGCAATCTCTTGTCAGTTTTCAACAGTGATGAAGAACAATCAAATAAAACTTCATAGTCACTAGCACTGCAATCCATGAAATCAGCAAGTTGCAAAGCATAAAACCATTGTGTTACTAATGCCCCCCGCAGGATGAACTGGAGACAGCATTAAGCCCTAAATCCCCTGAACTATGTCTGAATTTATCCCTTGTGTACAGCGTGTGTTCTCAATCTGTTTTCATTGAACAATGAATCATGATAGCATTATTAAACAGTATGTTTGCTGGAGGCAGGTGTCATTCAGAAGTTCTCGTGACTGTAGCAAATTTTAAAAAGACATTCTTCTGTAATATTACCAAACTGGTAAGATATTTACATGACATTCTCGATGGCAATCAGCGCTGAAACTGAAACTTATGAGATCAGTGTTGTAAAACCTTTGTGCAACTCACAGTTTTACAAGTCGGTTGAGGGGTCCAAGGTTTTCTATTTTGCAGATGTTGTTGTTCTGTAGGTATAAGTGAGTGAGGCTCTGGTTGTGGTGGAGGACCGGGCACTTTACTCAGTTGGTTGTCATAGAGATAGAGAACTATCAGGTTCCGACATAATGCCAAGTCCTCACCCTGAGGCAAACAAGAAAGGGAATATAAGATGGCAGGCAACAATCAGGAAGTGACATTTCTCATTGTACACAATGAATTGAATGCTTAATGATGATAATTTATCCGCCCAAAAGAATAATAACTGAGAGTATCATGGGAAAATCTTTCTGAAGCTGATGAGAAATCAGTCACAAGTCATATTGAAATGGGGAATCGAACCCGGACCCTTTAACCACCGGGCTACCCCACCGCCCCCATAATGCTAGATGATAAATTATAAACATAGTAATTGACGGCTAATTTCCTGACACTATTTCAAAAGCTTTCATGCTGTTTCAAGCAAAGGAACATTTAAGAATAACATGATTTTGTTGAGATCAAGAAAATTAGTCAGTCTTGTTTGTGCCAAAAACGATTCTTACGTAGGTCTGGCTATCAGTACAGATCACAGGGATCAATAATCATGAACTAAGTATCAATTGATTATCAATAATATGAGAGAAGTAACTCTGGGAAAAAAATGTCTAAAAGAAATCAAAATAATCTATGTCACTGGTGAGAGGTAACGCATTTATGCATGGATTACAGCATGCTGAACAAAATTAAGAAGAAGCCCTGAATATAGATCTTACTTTGTGTACTGTTTGTGTAAATTAAAGTTTAGTTCATCACAAGAAAGTTTAGGCAATATATCAGTGACACAATTTTCATATCAATAATGACTGAGAATTCTTCACACTGGCAATATTTCAGAATATCAATCATTTTAGCCAGCTCTATTTTGAAGTTTAATAAAAAAAATAATGCTCTTGTATTTTCATGAGTTCTATGCATAACTCCCTGAAGGAGAGTCAGTATTTTAGGAAACTTTTGAGTTCAACACGCAGTCAAAAATAACATGCTATCCCTTCCTTGAATTCATGTAGACACATAGGTCAACGAAACAGCTGACCATGCTAGCCAAGCAATTACAGTTGCTTAAAACATACTGGGGCAAAATAAGTTCTCTCAATCATTTCAAATAACCACAGCATTTCCAAAAACAGGGCCCAAACTTTAAAGAATAGATAAATAAAGATCTTCCTGATATGACGAAAATGACTCAACTAAATTCACACTTCACTATCCACATAGGTCTGTCTACAACTTGGACATGAAGTACCCCAGGTAGTCACAAATCCACGGTGAATGTTTACATGGCTCTTCAGCTGCCAATACTGTTCAGTATCAGTGACCTGTGAGGAGGAACTTGACAGGGGATTATCTGTCTGACAGTGAAAGGTAATCCCTCTGATTATATACTTATCACCAGGAGTGGAAATTCGCTGCCCTTTCCGATGTTTTCCTTCAAACCTTTTTGGAGCAAATTTTCTTCTCTGATACTTTAGTCTTACTTCTCTGGTGAAACTTTCAGTACAAAAACAGCATAAAACTCTTATACAGTTATAGAGTTTTGCTTATTCCGTCAACCACGATGTCAAGAATTCGGACAATGACTTATAAGCATAACTATCGAAACTTGAGTGATAGAAGTCGAATTTCATCTTCCTAAAATGATAAAATAACAGATAAAGTTTTCAGGATATGGCCCAGCTTGAAAAACATCTGGCACAAAGTCAGGTTTGGACATATTCCAATAAAAACTGTTATTCCATGTCTAGTACAAATGAAGTAATGACAATCATATTGTCACGTTTCGCTTAACAGCATCCAAAACTGTTTTCTCAATCTTAGCATGCATAGTTTGGCTTATTACAATCATATGTACCACCTACACGGAGAAACATGCGCAAGGACAAGTTTAGGCTCGTTGACTGCACTGTGTATTGATTCGCATGATTAGGGACATAACAATTGATTGAACTATCAATGAATTCATAATAACTCACAGCCTGGTTGTTAGTGACACAACATCAATAACCAGGACAAAGCATCAACATATTCATAATACTTTGATAACCCATGTTTGAAATTAAGAGAGATTTTATTGTTAGTTTGAACGTTGAGTAGCACCACACTAAGCAATATTACAGGTATGTAACCGTGAATTGTAAATAATCAAGGCAAGACAATCCAGTGATTGACTTCAAATTCATCAATCAACGCACTTGTGACTGGTATCAACCAAGTCAGCAAGCCTGACTAGTTGTGTTCCGATTAATTGAAATAATCGAAGATTGGTCGCAGTGACTAAACAACCAAGCATTCGATCGTGTTTTCTCATAATCGAACACAAACAATTTTGGAACACGTGTTTGCATTAACAATATATTTCACAAGGCTGGTTTTGTCTGTGTCATTAAATTTACATTTCATAAGCACTACAAGCTTGTTTTAAGTCATGATTGAATTTATCTTACAGACTCCAGAATATTTATGTTCGTAACATACTAGTAATCCTTTAAGTACGTGGAGTTTGCAAATGCATTTTGTGCAACTTGCAAAACATCCAAAAAGCTTTTGTGCATTAACAAACATAACAGGAAAATTTGATAAATGACGCTAACCAATTATTTTCGGTGATTGATCGGTTGTAATGAACTAATCATCAATTATGAGATTCTTACCAATTCCCAACACTAAGCCTGACCACCCCATCCATTCAATGATTCTTACAATTAAGCACAAGACTCATTGTAAGACTCATTAGTAGAAGGGTCTTTAATGTAACACTTTAACCAGCGTTCGAAATACCTGCCTGCCCGACCGCCCTGGACGGGTTATTTTCAACTCGGACTGCCAGATTCTCAATTCACCTGCCCGACTGTCGAGTTATTATTTAGACATGTATATTATTATTACTTTGTGGGCAGGTAAGTTAGTAGTTTTGGTCAGGGCTGGCAAGTTTTACATCTAACCAGCCCTGTGGTCTGGCTGAAATTTTTGGGAGTTTCATACCCTGCTTTAACATTATACATCAAAAATCTTGGTGTCCCTTGAATAAAATACCAGCATGAGCATTTGTGAGGGCAAACGATAGGCCTTTGTATCTTTGTCAGTTTTGGAAACTGCTATTGCTGACTTTGGTAGTGTTTCTTTATGCTAGATGGCATCACGTGTCATCTCGGAGAAAAATAAACAAGATTTCAAGTTCTGCATACCACTTCATCTATAGACTTGTCCTCCAGGTAAAGATGTGTCAATCGTCGAAGATACTGCTGCATTGACTCATCTCGCTTCTTTTTTGTGTATCCAGATGTTCCACGGGCAATCAGGTCTATTGTCAATTTGGGCATCTTGGTTGCTGATATCTATCATAAACTATAATAGGGAAATGTCCATGTTTCAAACTTCCTTAGTGACATGGCAATACAGAGTTACTGTACAGTCCTTGGGTGTATCTCTACATGTCTGAAACAAACAAGAACCAATAGGAAAGGTGAAAATCATGATGTGAAGTTTTAATAGCAAATTTCAATCATTAAAATAACTGTAACAAAAATATTTCATATTTCCTTATAACATCAGCCAGTACCACATATTCAAGGATGTGGGGTCATGGAGATTTATCAAGACCTGCTCCGAGGCTGAGCAAATGTAATAAAATCTTAAATTCAAATTTCCCAATATATGTTAGTATGGCTATAACAAATATTATCGGGTTGTAGAGCTGATCTCTGCATTTTAATAATGACTGGACCAATAAGAGGAACAAGATTTACAACTTAGTTTAACATTTAGTACAAAGTTATTACATCTCTGAATTTAACTTATTTTAAGAAAAGATAAACTTTAATACCATCTCAGTTTTTAAGAAAATTGTGAGTTTTCCTAATTTGCCTGCCAAAGGCACTTTCTTTAAAATCCAAGGGATTTATCTAGGCCTGCACTCAGAAGTCTTTGGAAATGGGATGAAAAAAATATCAGAAAAGAAAACTTCCCAATAAATGTTCATATAGATACAAACAATGCAAGTCACTAACTTCTTTGAGAGGCATTTAGAAGTTGGAGCAGTAAGGAAGTAAACAATATACATGATATAGGGATGAACAACTTCTTTATTGCAGTGGGAGCAACATTTCATGTGTTGGCTCTAACACCATTATCAAGCATGTGATGATACCAGTCAGGGGTGGAAATAACCCTTTGCCCGACGCCCCAGTCCAGTGTTTTTTTCTGTTGGGCAAGCAAATTTGTGTATCACACTGTACCGGTGTCCAGTTGACTTTCCAATATTAATTATGTTGTTTATTTAAGAAATCAACAAGAAAGCGGATGGTAAGTGGAAAGATTATCAGGGCAAGTTGTTCAGTACACTAGCAACTTTATAGTTATTTCTACCCCTGCCAGTGTTTGAACCTACACCGAAGCGTCGCTCTCACAGCAATAAAGAAGTTGTTCATGCATATATTCTTAGCCATGACCACGCTGATTCAAACATCCCTTAACAACGGGGAGGTCCCGTCATGTTTTAAGAGAGCTGTCATCACTCCAATCTTGGAAAAAAACAACTTGGATCCAACAGTGTTGAAGAACTTCCGCCCTGTATCAAATCTTCACTTCCTATCTAAAATCTTGGTGAAAGTTGGAGACTGCTCAACGCCCACCTGTTTGCAGAATGACATGAACCCTTCACTGCAATGACAAACAGACTGAAGCGGGTGCAGCACTGACAAACAGGAAGTGGTGTTGCTGGTTCTACTCGATTTGTCAGCAGCATTTGACACGGTGGACCACGAAACGCTCCTCTCAAGACTACAGCACACCTTCGGTATTCGCGAAAACTGCTTGCGGGTGGTTCAGATCTTACCTGTCAGGTCGAGTAATGCAGGTAAAAGTGGCTGAGGCCTACTCGAAGACACACCCTCTCAAATTTGGCGTGCCCCAGGTATCAGTGCTTGGGCGAGTGCTCTTCTCTGTCTACATCTTTCCACTAGGGAACATCATCAGGAAGCACGGCCTGCAGTTTCATGGATACGCTGATGATAACCAGTTGTACATCAGTGTGAAACCAACCACAGTTGCAGGATCCCAGGACAAGATGACTACATGTATTCAGGACATTCGCAAATGGATGTCTAGCATCTTCTTAAAGTTGAATGACGACAAGACGAGTACATGGTCATCGGTACCAAACAGCAGCTGAACAAGGTCCCAAGTTGTCCCCTTGAAGTTGGAAATGCTCTGGTTGATCCAAGTGACAAAGTCAAGAACCTAGGAGTGATGTTCACGAACACCATGTCATCTAACGAGCAAGTGCTGAACACCTGTAGGGCCACTAACATCCATCTACGCAACATCGGCAAGATACGGAGATTCCTAGACACCGAGACAACTAAGCTCCTAGTCCACTCCTACGTTGCCTCGAGACTTGATTATTGCAATTCCCTCATCAAACGATCTGGCAATATTCATAGTCTCCAACAAGTTCAGAACCGTGCGGCCAGAATCATCACCAGAACTAAACCAAAAGACCACATAACACCCGTACTTCAGCAACTGCACTGGTTACCAATCCAACAACAGATAAAATTCAAGATTCTCTTACTAACACACAGATCTTTATATGAGGATGACTTTCCCATCTACATGAAAGAACTTGTCAACGGGTATCAACCGTCAAGATCTCTCAGATCTGAAAGAAATCGTTTGTTGCGTATTCCTGTGACCAAAACCAGAATTGGCAGCAATGCCTTCTCAGTGACAGCCCTAGTTCTTTGGAACTCTATTCCCCTTAAAATCTGTTGCATCGACAACATCCCACCCTTCCGAACTCAGTTAAAAACCTTCCTTTTCTCTGGAGTCTCTCTACCCTAGATTTGTTAGAGCGCCGTTGAACAGGTGTAAGCTGGAAAGCAGGCACGTTATAAATGCATTATTATTATTATTATTATTATTATTATCCTTCCTTGCAGGACACTGTACTTGAGCATTTGTTTGCTTGTTGCTTATGAAAGGAAATCTAAAGCACTTGTAAACATGGCACAAATTATTAAGAAATGTAGTCCATATACATATATTGCCGGAGCCATATCATCTAAAAGACAAAAGATCATTTATGTATTCCCTTACTGATTACTTAGATTGATGTAAATGAATTACATTGTGTAAGTAACTGTGAATCTGATTGAATGATGAATGACAAACATTGAATGAGTGATCTTCAAGCTGACATTATATGTCCTTTTACGGTCCAATCCACCAGCAAATTGTCATCACTTTTTGGAGCCCAGTTTTTATGTTCACATTCATTAAGATCAGAATCTATCTAAGTGTATTTAATTGTTTCCCAGTGCGTAACAATGGGTCAACACTTTATAAAATGAAATCTATAAACTACAGAAAATGGTCTATGTAAAACTACATCATGTGTCATTAGGTAGGATTAGGTTGACTGGTTAATTGTTCTGATATCATGGAAATGTAATCATACACAAATGCACACAGAATATAAATTCTAAACATTTGCAGCTCAAAGCCTCAAGACAATTTCGCATGTCAGTCAGTCATAATTTTTTACTACTTTCTCGCTATGAGTGATGACATAACATTAAATGCAGAGATTAGATTAAATTTCCAATATAATTAGACAACAGACTTATTAATAGTATTGAAAACGAGAGTAATTGCAACACCAAGTGTTTGAACATCAAAGCCTACTCAGGTTACTGTAGGCCTCAAGATATGTATAAATTTACAAGTCAAGTTGTAATAGATCTACATGTCATTGTCAACAGTGACATGTTAAACATCATGAGAATAGACAACAAGAGAACGATATCCGGTTTCTCATTGACTAAATACATGCATACCCGTTACATACCAGTCGTTCCGATGTCACAAATTGAATGGAAACATTCTCACACGTGAACTGACAGTGGAAGAACGCCGACAGTTATGAGGCAGCAAATAACACGCATTTGCCGATTTATACTTACAATGTTGTGCCAGATATCCAAACTCTCCTTCGTATAATATTATTACTTTACTAATACGTATTCATCAAACATAGAATGCACTAATAACAACTGAACCTTCAAGTATATGTTACGATGTTTACACATGTAGCGCCTTGATACTGTGATTGACAGTGCTTGATCACATGACCGGTTGCTAAGGTGGTTGTCATGTTGAAGATTTTCTTTTCGCACCAATTCTAACGACGGAAAGTACAATTGATCATCTCTGAAAGCATATCTAAATCGTTTTCGTTAGAATGGCAAGAATGATAAGAGTACATTACTAACCCGATGTCCGAAAAACAATGCCACAACCGGCAAGGATGAACTTCTTTTTCTGGAAGCTATTTTCTATCAACTAGTTATTATTCCACATTTGAAAACAAACACTCTAGTGAATGTTAGTATTACAACTCATTTTGACGTTGTTTCCATTTTTTATGACAACATTATGTTTGCCATGTTGTGTCATCTCCTGATTTCTTTAGGGAACAACTGTGGTCCAGCGGATACATATATTTTACAAGTTGAACGTGTTTATATTTGAACGTAAGACAGTAGCTTGGCTCCTCAAAGCTTAGTGCCTCTATGATTACTTTACATTTTACATTTTGTCAGCATGAAGATGCGAGGGGCATTGTTGTAGAGAGTACCCTTCATCTTCTACTTCAAACAAAGTGCAGTACACGCAGACCCTAGGGAAAGAAAAAAGAAATGAACTCAGCTTACGCCTAGGATGATTTGTTGGCAACAGGTGAAAAGGGCCAAGAGAAAGTCAAAAGGGCCAAGAGAAAGTCAAAAGGGCCATATATCAAATTCAAATAAGGACATACAAACTAATACATATTTTATATGTTTTATTATATTTGCATCAGTATGTAGTCATAATAGTAATGATACATAGTGTGATCATCATACATTCAGGTGTTGATATGTGATCAAATATTCCATAAGTAAAATAACTACTGAGACAATATGTTAGTCAACACTACGTCTTGTGTGTGTGTGTTTTTTGTTTTTGTTTGTTGTGTTTTTTTTCTGTATGAAAACTGTGTACACAAAGTCCTTTATGTTATGCGCTGATTGACAATTTTGACAGCATATATCTGGGTCAGTATCAGGCCTCCAGATGTCATGAATGGTCTCTTGGCAATGAACTAAATGAGAGTAGTTGCCGGCATATACAATACATAACATTAGACTCGCACTTGAAACATTACATGTTATAAGTGGATGAAATGTAAAGACTAAAACTAGTATCAGTTGCATTTTAAACATGTGATATAAAACGGGATAAGAATAACGGTATTAGTAAATGGTATTTATCTAACACTAAAAGATACAGTCATAACGCAGTTAATGATAGCATAAATCCAATATGGCGCCGCAGAAGGGCACTCTGCTGTCAACAACAGATTTTCCGCTGTATGCGGTACGGTCTCTTGGAGATCGACACTTTCTTGTAGCAGGAGGGGGTGGTCAGGCTAAAACAGGCGTTCCTAATGCAGTAGTGAGTGGCTGTTTTCTTCTGCATAAGTTTTCTACAGAAAATACTTACGCGTCATGTTCCACGTTGACAGACGACACTCATCGTGACTCGAGGCACTGACTGACGATAGTGCTACTTCTATTAGTTCTAAGCTTAGACTCGGGCACGCAGCTGATATGTTAGTGCAGCGTTGTTTATGCAAAGTATACGCCGGCTAGCTAGCAATAGTAACATTTCGACTATGAAAAACGTTTCTCAAAATAAAACGATATGTGCTGAACCTGCACCATTGTGCAAATGTGGATTCTCATACATCGCAATGCAATGATCTACAACACAGATATGCTTATTTTACCCCTGAGAAATTAGCCATAGTTTGGGATGTGTACTTCAGGGAGACTTGTTACTTGGGTAACAATAACTATACACAGTAACACCAATGCATCTTGTTGGATGCTTAAGACATGTTAAAAACGTTTTAGTTCAGCCTCACTGATTGTTTACAAATATGACTACATGAACATGATCAAAATGAAAAGGGGTATTTAATATTTTAATTGAAAACAGTAACACACACAATATATATATCATATATTATCATCATGGTATGTGTTTTCAGACACGTAATAACATTTCATGTTGTTATGTTGAAAATCACATGAACAATTGTAAAACATGTCACTATGTTATTAAACTTAAAGGTCACATGCAACAAAAAAAATCAAACATAATTAAAACACAATTATCACTTATTCGTGACATATAATATACATTGCTGGTTATGAAAAAGCATATAAACAAAATTCTAATTCAACTTAGTATGTAACACGAGTTCTGATTGGTCAATGCTATAAATTTCCGACCGTATATTCAGCATATACGGTCGCAATTTGAAAACTGATTCACCCGAAACCTTTGAATGTATCCCTACACTATTGGGGTAACGCTGTTTCGCAGGACATTGTCATTTGCAGAAGCCATTGGTCAATTAACTCCCCTATCCAGCTAAAATGGGTGGAATTTGTGTTAAAAAAGACAAAACAGTATCATAAATTTTAAGTTCAAACAACTTACTCGCATCGGGCTGTTGACCCAACACTGTCGCCGATATAACTAAATTTGCGGCTATATAACCACCGGTATACATACCCAATTCGTCAAACACAGTACAGTTATCCCCTAATTATAAGCGTACAATCGCAAATCAAAAGTGCAATATTTTGTACTTGGGTTTTTTTCCCACGAAACGAAGCACCCAGGACACCGAACCCAGTCAGAGCGGGTAGGTGTGCACTCAAGTGTAATGGCTGGTTCATTTGCAGATGCCGTCACGGCTCATTGTCTGTGTATATAGAGATGTTGGGTTTTGTAAATACATGCTCATTTTTTGTGTATAACATTTTGCAATCAACAGACATCATAACCTGTCATGTGTACAAGTATCACACCTGCCTGTCTTTGTAATTACATAATGTGACAGAGACCGAACTCGGGCCATAAATCAATGCGTTTTGTTTATTGTGTATAGCCTGATAGGTGTTAAGTTCAAATTAAATGTGGTCAGTGATCGAAGTTGTGTATTGAATATTGTCATTAGCAGACAGGCAGGCAGACACATAGGCGTCAATAAAACAGACGTTGAGTTTTTTGTCTGTGACAACGACATATCTATATCACAGTTAGAAATTCTGTCAACGCTAAATAATTACATTGCTTTTAAGTATCGAACTGAGAAAGTGACTCGGTAAGAAGAACGTGTGGTGAAATAGACAAATAAAATTATATAAACAGTTAAATCGGTAATCTACTGTAATAACATATGAAAAGCTCGCACCTGTGAAATATCAACAAAACATTAGAAAAATAGCTCACACCAATGCCTTCACCGGACAACCCGCTTCCAAGCTGCGCGAACCTATTTCACTGCGCATGTTCTGTGAGCGCAGCCCAGCTGTTGAAACCACTTCAATTCCCCCCACACACTGGGGGAAAATTAGTGAATCGTTTGAACTCCGATTTCGTGCGGATTTTTTCATCGCGTTATTTTTCAACTTTATAAGTTGAATTTGCACTTTTAATGATTCGTTTCGGTAAGTCCATACCGAAAGGTATCAGAATCTGCAAAGTTGTGTTTTACGTTGCATGTGACCTTTAAATACAACCTTATCTCAAACACATGCCATCATCTGAGTATTTACAATGTCTGTGTGACGCAACCCGCCGTGTTTAAAGTGTAAGTAAACACTGTCATCTGGAAACGTGATGCAGAAAACCTATTGAAATATGAATAATTACACTTTGAATATATGAAAAGAATCTTCATCTTGCATTTTTGTTTTCAGGAAATATATGAGCTGAAGTTGTCTGATAACAAGGTTTTGTCAGCAAGTCTGTGTCGTCATGATACTGGGCTTCAGGCGGTTATGAACTGCGATACCTTCTATGATGGGCGCAACCATTACCTAGCAACAGGACAGGATGATGAATGCCACACATACTCACTCAAATACAAAGTTGTTCCAGCAGAAAAACAGCCAGGTAGACTGATTTCCTATAGTTTAGTCCATTATTATTACTATATGTGTGTGTGAATAAATACAACCATGATTACCACTTCACCCAGTTCACAGTGTGTGCCGACACCTTTAGCATCTTTAGTGTTTTCAACATCTTACTTGCAGGGATTTATCTTGGATTTCTAAGTGGCTTTTGCTAGAAAATAGCAGACAATATCTATGTGTTATCAGTAATTTGAAAATTTTTTAATGATATTTTCCCATATAATCTGTCAAAGTGGGAATTGTTTTATTCAAATTAGAATTTGTACTGCCATTTTCTGCAGATTTGGAACCACAGGCCATAACATATAACTGCTGCCACTGAGATGAGGACAACTCACTGAAGTGTGTTGTTAATTTTTTTTTAATCATGGTTATGTATATTGTGTATCACCTGTGAAAGTTGTTAAAACAGGCTGACATTTTGTCATTGATCACAGCAGCCAGTATACATGTTGGTAATCCTAAGACATTAAAGTCCTGAACATAATTCTCTAGACCTGAATCATTTTCAAAATACACTTAAGCTCAATACTGCTGATTATACCAAGTATGTCATGTAATTCTTTTTAATCCTTCACAGCATCACTGTCGCTGTTTGGCGAGCTGGAATTTTAAGTTAGTAGTCAGAAAAATATCATTCTTTTTATTCATCCACAGAATCCAAGGAAGCCAAGGTCAGAAAAAGAAAAGGAGAAACTGAAAATTCCTCAAAGGAGAAAAGCAATGATACCAAACATATCACCTTTGACATTGAACCAATGAAACATGTTACTACAGACTTTGCTAAAGATGGCAGTTTTCAAAAAGTGGTCCGATTTGGTGCCGACCATTCTATTCTGGCAACAGGAGGAGCTGATGGTTTCGTCAGAGTGTGGCAGGTAGGTTTAGAGTGGATGAGTTATGATATTTAGTCACATCTGCAGTATTTCAGCCATATAACACCAGGCTATAGTTCGCCAGTGACTGAGTAGGTTTAGGACAGATTGTGACACGTGAAGGTCCGGGTTAGAATATTGGCCTTCAGTAACCCATGCTTGTCGTAAGAGGCAACTAACAGGATCAGGTGGTCAGGCTCGCTGACTTGGTTGACACATGTCATCGGTTCCCAATTGCGCAGATCGATGCTCATGTTGTTGATCACTGGATTGTCTGGTCCAGACTCGATTATTTACAGACTGCCACCATATAGCTGGAATATTGCTGAGTGCGGCATAAAACTAAACTAACTCACTCACTCACTCACTTAGAACAAATTGTGCTCATGTCCTCCAGCATGTAGCCAGACTTTATATTTCACACTGAAAATATGATCATCATCATCTTGTTCTTCTTCTTCTTAGAACCTTATCCATTCTTTTGCGCCCTGATAGATCCATTCAGCATTTTGCACAACAATTTGAACTACCTCTCATTAAGCCTTATATTTTAGAAATGACCTTTGTCCTCATATTGTAGTATCCAGACATGAAAAAGATCTATGAAGTGAAAGCTCACTTTAAAACTGTTCACTGTTTCTTCACCAAATTTCATACATAGGTAGGTCTAGTGGTGAACTGGTGCCTTTTGGTAGTTTTGGATTTCTGAATAAAATAAACAAAATTGTGTGTTTCCATGGCAACAATTTTGACTTCAACTGAATTTGATGGTAGTGCTCCTTTCTGGAGCAGAAATATTGCCGATGTGACGTTAAATAATAACTCACTCACTCTGGAGCAGAACTTTGAAACCTTTCAGTACTCTACTTCCACTTAGCTATATACACGCCAACACATTTGACATAGTCATAACTCGTAGACATATTCATTAAGAGTATTTTGCCATTGCGGGGGATATTGATGACTTTGTCTTCTTGTTGCATGTACATGTGGGTATAGTCTGAAAGATTTCACATTGCATTTATATAATAATTTATCTTACCTCACACATAACTGTTGTTTTCAATTTACCCTGCTTACAAGCGAGTAACTTTTTCCCGCTGTAAATGCCGAACTGTGGGAATTCGTTTGGTACTTCGTATTTGTAGTGTTTGGTTTGTTGAGTGAGTGAGTCAGTTTAGTTTTACGCCGAACTCAGCAATATTCCAGCTATATGGCGGCAGTCTGTAAATAATCAGGTCTGGACCAGACAATCCAAGGATCAACAGCATGAACATCGATATAAGCAAATGGGATACGATGACATGTGGTTTGGGCTGTTGCCTAAGTCCGTTACTCCTTACTACGATCCAATGCCCGTGCTTCAAACAGTTCAAAATTAACCTTGAGGTGTACGGTAGAATAAATACGTTGTTCACTGGTCCCTCAGGGCCCATGGGTCGGGCTCAGGGCACATAAACAAACAGAGGGTACCAGTGAACAACTTATAATATATTTGGAACCTTGTTGAAGATTGATAAAAGAACAAATTTACCATGGTATTATTTCTGCATGAATATGTTGAAGACTAGAAGTTTGACTCATGACAGTATTTGCTTGTTTCTACAGTTGTCACAGACTGCCATCCTAAACCATTTTTGAAACCATTGTTTTTCTGTCTATTTTGTCCGATCTTTCAGTTCAGACAGACTGACTTTGAGAAACGTTTATTATATAAGTTCAGCAATGGTGAGTGCTTGTGCAATTTGTTGCTTCTCAAAATGTGATTTTGCAAATTTGACTTTTCAGATATGGGCTTATTGAAGGCAGCAAAGCCAAATTCAGCTTGTATACTCTGAGCATACCAAGCAAAAGATCTTCCAAACCCTCACCATGCTATGTGACGTTGTGGGACCCCAGCACATTTAAACCCAAGAAACATGCCAGCACAGGAACTGAGGTTTCATCATCATTAGCAGTCAGGTAATGGTGGGCTAGGGGAAGATGAAATGGAAGCACTACTCTTTGTTCGAGTTTGCAGTGCATCAGTGGGAATTGCATGGCTATAGAAAGCAATGCAGATTTGATACTATGATAAAGATTGTCAGATGCATAGTATTGTTTTCCAAGCAGTTTAACCAAAGTTCTGTCTGTGCCAAAACATTTTTAGAGTGGTGGAACAAATATGGCACCTATCATCCTTCCCCAGTGGAATTTAGTGTTATTACTAGACCGAACAGAATTTTACTAGGCACAGGCTTCACACTATCTGCTGAAGTCACACGCTGCCTCATACAGAAGGCACGTATATAGCACATTAATCTAAAGCACCACAGTTTGCTATGCAGAGTTATGTCCCTTCTACATTCGGTTGCATTTGATTGCAGGGTCTTATTCTCTTATTCCCTTTGATCATGCTTCTAGGGTTGTCTGAACATTCTTGTGGGTCTCACCGAGGTTGAAATATCCGAGACCTGCATCCCTTCAAGCCTCCCTCCCGACTCACTGATGTAACTAAAATAATGATCAAAGCAGTGTTAAACTCCCTGACTACTACGTTGCTCTGTGCAATAAACAGTGAGTGAGTGAGTTTGGGTTTTACGCCACTTTTAGCAATATTCCAGCCATATCACGTTTGGGGACACCAGAAATGGGCTTCACACACTGTACCTATGTGGGGAATCAAACCCGGGTCTTCGACGTGACGAGCAAACGCTTAAACCACTAGGCTACCCCGCCGCCCCTGTGCAGTAAACAAGTTGTTATCCATAAAGTTGTATGCTTTATTGTCGACCTTTCTTGTTTCAGTGACGATGGTATCTACCTTGGTGTTGGCACAATATCTGGAAGTGTGTCTGTTTATGTATCATTTAGTTTACAGGTAAGTGATCGGTTGACTTGTCATAATGAAGGAAGCCACTTAAGATGTTATAATACATCACTGGCATAATCAGTTTATTTCAAGTGATGAATAAGTGATCACAATGAATGCATCAAGTTGTCTACTTTTCTTTGTTCATATTAGAAATGTTTCTCTGAAAACTTGTGAGTATATATCAGTGTTCAGGAATAGTGTCAGACCCTCTGACAAATCCGGCAGATTTGCCAACGGGAGATAGAAGTCTACAACCCGCCGGTCCCAGTGTCTGACTGTATATTTCACAATGACTTTGACTGAAGATGTTTTATGTGACATGTGACACTTGTTTGCTGTTTATAAATCTTATGTTTGTTAATAATTTCAATGTCAATTATAAGAAATATTAAATCTGAAATGTGTGTTTAATTTTATTCCATGGGTCCTGTGCATTTTCAATGGGTCAGACAGACATCTGAAACTTACAGGACCCAATGTCCTGTGACTTTGAAACACCATTCGGGAACACTGATATATATTCCATATATCATATTGCTGGAAATACTTGACTGGTTCCTTGTAATCAATGAATATTGTTTGTATGTAATTAATTATATAAAAATCAAAGAAAGAGGAACCATTAAGCATAAAGGGAGATAACTCTGTCAGTAATCTAAGAACATAGTGGGTTGAAGAAAACATTGTGTCACTGTAACTCTCTGCATGACTGGTTACTGTTTCAGAGGTTGTACCACGTGAAAGAGGCTCACAGTATATTTGTAACTGGGGTGGAGTTCATGCCCAGCTCTGAAGGGTCCCGGGCTGTGACAGGGGGGCAAGATTTCACACTGCTCAGCATTTCTGCAGATAACACCATCAAGATACACCAAGTTGCACCAAGAGGTACTTCCTCCCACTTACAGCATTACAAATATGACACTGTCATGAGATTTGAATGCTTGTTATCCCCTGCCGCAACTCGAAACGGGGGACTATGTATTCAGCGGCGTCCCCACGGCTTTGACCATTTTCAAACTGTTGTTAACATGATATCTCATGCACTGTTGTATCCAATGTCTTCAAATTTGGTGACAGCCTACAATGGGGGATTACGCAGACACCAGTGGATTTAGGTGACCTTGACCTTATCTTCAAGGTCACCACGACACTTTGACCACTTTTCAAACTCTTGTTAACGCGACATCTCATGAACTGTTGTACCCAATGTCTTCAAATTTGGTGACAGCCTACATTGAAAGATTACCCAGACACCAGTCGATTTAGGTGACCTTGACCTTATCTTCAAGGTCACCACGACAGTTTGACCATTTTCAAACTGTTGTTAACGTGATATATCATGCACTGTTGTATCCAATATCTTGAAATTTGGTGACAGCCTACATTGGGGGATTACGCAGACACAAGTCGATTTAGGTGACCTTGACCTTATGTTCACCACGACACTTTGACCACTTTTCACACTCATTTAAACGTGGTATCTCATAAAGTATTGCACCCAATGTTTTCAATTATGTTGACAGCCTACATTGGGTGATTATGCAGACACCAGTCATTTCAGGCATCTTGTATGTGACCAAAAAATAAAATAGTAAATGTAGATACATTCCATTCTTTAGCGGCGGGGACATTGCCATATCAGTGGCAAACACTTGTCTTTGATTGTTATAATTTCAGATCAAATGCCCATCATGTCTTTCTCTAATAATAAATATTATTCATAGTGCTTGATAAGAGATGTGTGACAGTGTTTTAATAAGTTAAGGCATGGGATTTGAAAATGCTGTGTGCACAGGTCTGAGGATAAGACAGCAGTAAGGATGTGTATTGCAGGTTTGACTTATATTGTGGTGTCTAGAGACATTACAAGGCAAGAGAAATTACGTTTATCAACTTCTTCACAATCAGTATAATGTCAGTATGCTGTTTTTTATTTGGCAAGTATGTATGCTAAGAATGGATGGTTTGTATTATTAATGATGTTTGTGTATGCTCTTCGTATTTCATGTGTATTATAAATTCTTTTTCCTTTGGAAACAAAATCCAGTGCAGTCAACTTATTCTTTGAAATATTCTCTTTGTGAGCATTCGTCTTAAAAATAACTCATCTTAACTATGCATCTCTGGATCAGTAGTAATTTGGTGATAATTCCTCTATTTCATCATCAGTACAGCAGGAATTTATCTAGGATTCGAAAACTACGTGCCCTTAGCAGACAAATTGGGAAAAAATGTTAATTTGCTTAAAATTGGAGGGTTTTTTATCCTAAACACAGAGGCATTTTAACATTGACATTGTTTTCAATGCAATAATCTAACCGAAGCATTAAAGCTTCTTTTTCCAGTTTGACCCAGTTATCAGTATTTGTTGCTGAATATCAACCTCAGAGCTAGTCAAGGCATTTCACTTCTCCTGACAGAGTATCATATGAATCCCTGTGCGAGCAATGTCATTATGTATGATTTGACTGTGGGCTAACATAAAGGTTGAAGTGTTGACTCATCATGCACCAGAGCTAGATGTGACTTCCTGCTTATACGACCGCCTCCGTGGTGTAGTGGTTAGAGCGTCCGCCCGGAGAGCGGAAGGTCGCGGGTTTGATCGCCGGCCGCGTCATACCAAAAGACGTTAAAATATGGTACTTGTTGGTCCCTGCCTGGCGCTCGGCATTAATGGGTACAACAAGGACTGGTCGGCTTGGAGTCAGTATAATGTGTCTGAGTGGGGTATTCATGCTTCATGTATCTCAGTGGGCTAGCACTATAAAACCAGCTTCAGTCTGGGCTAGTACAAACAGCCGCACATACACACACATGCACGTGGTCATATGAGCGAAATATTCTCAAGCACGTCGTTAAACCCAATTTCACTTCACCTCATGCTGCTTATACACCATTCCTGGCATCTCCTACTGTGATACACACCTTTAATAACACTAGTAGCACTATCAGTAGCAGTGCAATACTATCCTGACTCAGATTCTACACATACAAACGATCCATCTTCATGCACAATCACCGCCCTAGGATTCCAGGCTAAGTTAGACCCCTAGGAAACTTTACTTGTCTTGATTTAATAGATTGGCTGATGAGCCTCTAACTTTATACCATGTCAACAGCCCAGATAGTGATAGTCGCTGCTCATAATAACAATTACTGGGTTCTCTGGTACAGACTAGACTATTTCATGAGAAATGTCATGAGTGTATTGTATCTGTTTCAGGCTCCTACAGTGCAGCCTGGCTCGTTGTTGGAACACTCGCCATCATCTACGCCATCTTCTGGCTAATGTCCTCTTTTGGTATTTGATCTGCACATTCCCACCTGCTGAGAAGGATGTTTTGTTTGTCTTCAATATGGCTGTGAAACATGTAGATGGGAAAATATCCAGCAGACTATCAGCCGATATGGCAACCCACTGAAAGAATTGGAAATCTATCTCAATTAATGGTCTTATCTCATTTCTATTTTTGTGACTGATGTGAAACAAAGACGGTTTCCTCATATACTTGAGGCCACTGATGAATTGAGGGGTGAGATATCAATGTTTGGGTTGTATGTGGGTCATTGCAGCCTAAATGCCTGAGCCTAGATTTTCGAAGCTCTCTTAGCGCTAAGATAGTCGTAAGTTATTGTACAGCACTTACGACTATCTTAGCGCTAAGAGGGCTTCGAAAATCTAGGCCCTGGTGCATTGCTCATTATATCCATCTAACCCATGCGCGTCGTGAGAGGCAACTAACTGGATCATGTGGTCAGGCTAGCTGACTTGGTTGACACATGTCATCGGTTCCCAGTTGCATAGATCGATGCTGATGCTGTTGATCACTGGATTAAGAAAGTAAGATTCTTTAGAGATAACAACTTCTTTTATTATATATGATGCGACGTTTCGGTATGGATTCTTATACCGTTGTCAAGCAAGTCACTCTTGCTTTACTGACATCCTGGCTTCACAAATAAACACTCTCTTGTGAACATATGATTTGTCAAGAAATAAAATCATTTGACCAAAACACTACATAAATAACCCTGATACCAGTCAGTGGATACCAGTGATCATGCCAAAGAATGGTTACATATTTAAGTGGCTGCATAAAAGCTTTCATAAAAGGATATCAAGAGGAGCAATAATGACATGCTCAAGTGCTGGAATGATACATGCATGTAGACTAATACAGATTTCCAAGTGAAACATTTGTAAATATGTCTGATGTCAGATGTTGGATCTTCACTTTTAGTATCTTTTAGGCTAAAGAATTACCCCGGTAATGTTCCTGTTTCTTGCCAACCAAATGTGGATTTTTTCATATGAATTCATAAAATTAAGATGCTGAGGCAGATTTCATCTGAATTTTTCAGTAAAAACATTTAAATAAATAGTTTTGTTCAGAATAACCACTGATAAATGTGATACACATCAAGTGTGACTGTATGTGGGACTATATTTTAACTGTATTGCATCAATAATAAGAAGAAGGAAATAGATGGTGGTGTATTTTAGGGGAACCTTCACAGGATTGGGGTGTGATGTTTGTTAGTGAGGTGGGTGGGTAGAAATGAAAATCTGATAAATATAATAGGCCACATTTACCAAAAAAATTTTTTTTCCCTTAATTTTAACCTTTGTTTTATTAACATTATCGTAAGTTGACCCTGACAACATTTCATGCTTTTGTTTGTGTCTTTATTCTTGGTAAATTGACAGGGCATATCCATCAATCAGATGTTGAACTCATCTGATGTTTATATAGGAAGTAAATAAATATAATAGGCCATATTTACAACAACAAAAAATTCCATAATTTTAACCTTTGTTTTATCAACATTATCATTAGTCAACCCTGACAACATTTCATGCTTTTGTTTGTGTCTTGACTCTTGGTAAACTGACGGGAAATCCATCAATCATCTGATGTTTATATAGGAAGTACCTATATATTTCACTCCTTGTTCTATTAGAATGTATTATTTACCAAGGTACAGGTTCATTTTCCTTTTTAGGCTGTTATTTTCTCATTATGTGTTGTTGTAGTTGTAGTGTATTTACTGACGATTGCTATTGTTTTATTTGTTATAGTTTGGACAATCTAGTACTGTTTTCTGTGCCAAGAATGTTTGGTTCTTTGTCTGAAGCTTTCACTGTCTTAGTTTCACCAGTGAGGAGCTTGTCTAGGATCTTGATTTCCTTCCATGAAATAACTTTTCTAATGGTCAAAACAGCATTAAAGAAATGTAACAAAACCTTTTCCGCATTCGTATAAAATCTCTGCTAAAAGATGAGTAGATTATACAATTCTGACTATAAAACCCCCACCACTCAAACTCCTTCAGTCACTGTAGGTGATGGGGTAGCCTAGTGGTTAAAGTTTTTGCTCGTCATGCTGAAGACCTGGGTTAAATTCCCCACATAGGTACAATGGGTGAAGGCCATTTCTGGTGTCCCCGCTGTGATATTGCTGTAATATTGCCCAAAGTGGCGTAAAACAAAACTCACTCACACACAAGGAAACAGAATGGCATCCCCCAGAGTTCTGTTTTAATTTGGTTGTGAGATACGTAATGTCAGCAGAATATATGTTCAGGAATTACCTTGTTGATATTATGTATGATATTAACATCAGCATACATTACACGATCTCATCAACATTTTTGATTGATGTCTTTCAACTAAATATAGCAGATGACTGCAAAAGCTGGCAATTCATTGTTAGACATACCCATGAATTGACTTTTAGAGTTCATAGAAGATTTATGCCTTTTTGCAAACTTGGGCAATGAAATAATCATATGACTAGATATGGTACATTTGAGTTCATCATAACATTATTTTGAAAGCAAAGTAACTGATTTGTTGTCATCTGTAGCTTTGAGAAAGACAAACACAAGGAAGTGCCTTCTTCAGAACATTTCTCACAATGAAAGTGTCATAATATTGGGCATTCAAGTGGTTTGTGTGAGGACACCATTTCTAGATCTTTGAAACAGTATTTATTGTGTCAATTGATCTCTGAGACTGTGCCTCAGTTAGATGTGTATATGCATACAAATAAGACCTTTTCTCTAAAGACAAATGGAAATACATGTAGCATGTAAAACCCCCCAAGCTGTTTTGTATATATGCTGTTTTAACAAAGATCTAAGCTTAACAATTGTTATGATACTAATGGAATTTTAAGAAGTGAGACAAGGATAAAGAGTGTCTCCCTGGCTGTAGTTGCAGGAAAGAAAAGGAAGGTTTTAAATGGTGTTTTCATAAATTATCGGTTAACATTAATGCAGTTTTGTCCAAGGTTAACAGATTATAGTTATTTGATACCTTTTACCCTATGAATAAAGATATTCATAAAACTATTCATAAATATGTAGCATGTTATGTTTTCTTAATAGAAGACATGAACTGATAAATTTATGGAAGAAAGGTAATAAATATGTTGATTATGTAGGTAATATAGCAATTATTATGATAGAATGTTTTTCATGTGTGAAGGTGTTAGCAGGAGTTAGCAGGTGAAATGAAACACTGTAAATACAGCTGTCAAGTTCTTAACAGTTATTATCATTATAGTTATGTAAATTAAGTATGTATGAATATCGTGCAATATAGCAATTTGAACTGCACACTGGATGTGTTATTTCATGTATTTTGTATTGATAGGTAATCAAGACTTCAATTGCTTCCTGAAAGTGGTTTTTGGTATATTATATATTTATTACCGAAGTACATCTTCCATTTTATGTCAGAAATTAAACACATTTGTAAATGTTGAGGTTGAAATGTATGAAGCTTTGTGTGAGAATGCCAAAGATGATGAGGCAATAGTGATTTTGTTTTTGTGTTGAGTTATGAGACGGCTTGAAAAGGACAGTTCATTATGTACTGATAAATAACATAATCTGCTCACGATATCCCTTAGGATGGTATGTTAGTTGTTTTGTTCTGAGAATGTGAGAATGTGAGAATATGCTATTTGTATTTGATAGAGTGTTTGTAAAATATGAGCATGCTTGTATTTGTGAATGTTGAAAAAAGCACAATGAAGTCCTGAAAATGCTGGAGTGAAAAGACCAGGTGTGAGCTTTCTCCTGAATGTTTGGAAGTATGTCATTTGTCATCAGTTTTATCAATGAATACAGAACATCATGTTTTTTATTCTTGGTTGACAAAATTATGAGAGAGCCAGTTGGTAAAGTATGTTGCTCATCATTACAGGATTGAAAATTACAGTGTTTATGTTATGTAATATGTAAGAACAAATGATATTATGCATTGTTTTGTGTGTGTTGAAATGAAAGGACAAAGAAAACATCATTGGTTGAATGTTTCTGAAGAATATGTAATCAAACATACATCTATCCACTTCTGTTCCTCTGTTTTGTGTATGGGTTCAAATAAGGGTTAATATCTGATTGTTGTAAGACAAGTGTGTGGTTTGGGATTATTGTTTCGTTACATCAAATTTCTCGCAATAATACTTATTAACTGTATTCATTTTACTTTAGTAATGCGGTTGAACAGAATGTTAGCAGAATTTGACTCATTCACATGTAACTGGTTGAATTCATCTCTGAAATGTCTTCTTCTTGATGAATTTTATCTTTTCCAATCTTAGACTTTTGGGTATACCAGAGACAAAAGCTCATGTGAGTGTAAGCCGTGTTGGTTTTTGGTTGTAAACTTTGACATTTTAAATATGATCCTCGGTGCTAAAAATCTCTTTCCTACTAAGCTGTGATCGATTCAGTTGTTTCATTTGTGAAGTCTTTTCACAACTTACACATTGTGTTTATAATTAACAGGTATACTACCTCCTGAAGGTGAATTAATGAGAGAGTTACACAGGATACACTAGAAAACCAAGAAGACATCTCTGCTTTAAACTGTTGATATGCATGGCTTACATTTACAATTTAATACAAATGTGACATGCAAGTTATCATGGATATGGTTTGATTGTTTTCATTTTGTCCTTTCAAACATATATTGACTTATAACCCAATTGGTTTGTTCATTTGTCCAGCTGTTATTACATAATATGTAAGTTTACATTACTGGTTGAATTATCCAATATAACTATTTCATTTTGTAATAAAATCTAATACCAACATTACTATAGCATTGCTGATATTTTTCATACTGCAGGGATGGAAATAACCCATTGTCTGACGTCCGAGTCCAGTGTTTTTTTCTGTCAGGCAAGCAAATTTGTATATCACACTGTACCCGTGTCCAGTTGACTTTCCAATGTTAATTATGTTGTTTATTTAAAACATCAGCAAGAAAACGGTCGGTATAGTGGAAAAATTATCAGGGCAAGTGACTTTACATGTGCCACTGTACCGGAGTACACTATCAATTTTAAAGTTATTTCCACCCCTGATACCCTGCTTTGGTTTGTTTTGAGCATGGCACCATCACAGTGACACTTAGCCACAGCAAGGTCATGGTGTGGTCGCTATGTTGGATTGGTAGTTGTTCTCAGTACCAGGCATAATACTTCAGTGTTAAAATGAATGATTTTTCATTTTTCATGTTTAGTAATGTGCCGTTTGAATTTAGGATGAATGATTTCTTAATTTCAGTAATAAGGACTCACATCGAGAATGTAGGTAAACCCAAATGATTGTGGGTTCAATTCTAGGTTTCTCAGAACCATACCGTTCTCGTGTTTTTTCACCAGAAGGGTAAACGTCTGAGATCTGTTCACTTTCCTCACACATTACACTGACAGGCCATGATATGAAAACATACGTTTGAAGGAGGGGTTAAACCAAACACACTCACTTCTTGCCCTCACAGTCAGCAACGATCTTTCGACCAGTTTTGCAGTGTCTTCAATTAGGATGCTTCGTAACTACTGAGGCTAAAACACAAAACTCACTTCATTTTCAGAAAACGCTGCCCACAGCTATAAATTTCTAATTTATTCTGACTCTTGAATGTCACTTTAAAGTATTTTGTGTGCATAAACGTCTGACATTTCAACTAGAATTGTGTATGTGTCAAGATGACAGCTGACCTTTCTATAGCAAGACTTGGACCAAAGAATTACCAGGTGGATTATCCAGTGATTATACTTGATTAGATTTTCTTAAATCTGTTGAAGTGTGTCAAGGAAACTGCTGTCAAATAGGAATCCGTTTATTCTGATTTGAACTATCACTGTCCTCTTGGGGAATGTTTGTATCGACATAATTGTGATAAAGATGGAAGACGTATATCTGTGGATGTGGAGTGTCTGTCTCTCTGTGTGTATGCGTTTCTGATGGTTGACAGGAGGAATTTCAAGGAGTCTTCAGGGTGAGAACCTTCATCCTTAACAAGCTTCCACACGAATCTGTTTCTCAATGCAATGACTTTTCTATTGGTGTTGACGTTTATATAACTGAACAGAGGTGATCACGAACATATCCATCCTATTCAGACATATGCTGTTTGTGTTCAGTTCACTTCAGTTTACTGTTGAAACAAGCCCAGTCCATGGTCTGACAAGAATTTATTCATCTTCCAATGCACTATTACAGCAAAAGGTCATGCTCTCATTGTTTTCCATACATAAAATAATAACTTAGTACTTACACTATATACAGCACTTTCTATATATCTGAATCTTCTTTCCACATGATTGATATTGCGCATGGAATTTGTACATAGTTCTCAATCAATCTTTCTGTTGATTCGCATCAGCAGATCTCGTGCAGAATTATTTCTCTTTGAGGTACTAAAGACTTACTGTGGAGTATGAATAACGTTTCTCGAAATGAATATTGTGTAACCAAAAAGCTGTTCAGCTGATATAACACCGGATCACAATGTGTCTGAAATATTGCCAAGGCGTTTTGAAACTTTATCTTACAATGAAGCGCCGGCCAGTAAGTAATCAAGACTGGACTGGGCACGACCGTCCCATGATTCTTTCTGCAGATGCAGCAATTTGGGCGTACATTTCATCTGGCATTATTATTCTTTTGATAAAGAATAATAAAAGATAAGTTCCTACGAAATGAAACAAGGGAACCTACACGTGTTTAACAATAATCCCAGACAATATCAGTAATATCAGAACAGATCTGATTCATTCATCAGATATATTCTCTGGAGCGTTATATGAAACATTTGATCATTCCTTGAATTAATTTAGCGGTTGGATTTATAGTCGTTGGAGGTGTTTAAGTTAACGTTGTTACAGGTTTGTTATTGCAACAACGCATTTTTATACAATTCGGAACGGACTCAATCTGTTGAATACCTAGTTTTCTTTCTTGCAGTTGTATCCACGTTCGAGAGGAGTTAGCAAACTGATCGATAGAGCATGTCTGCTTCGTGTGTGAAGCCAGTTATTCAAATCAATACTTATCGATCGCATTGTCAATGTTATATTTCTGTGATAAGAACTTAAACTGTCCAATTATTTTAAGGAAAATATTTTCTGTAGTATTATCTGGTGCACGTTTCTCTACTTTCTCAACAGTGTTTCTACTTTTTATATGCGTTTTGAATTTATCAGCACTAATATTGAATCTATATTTCCTAAAGTTCATTCTGTACCCTGATCATGAGTACTCCGTATATATTGGCAGGTTGTTATTCTCTTTATATATACATTATCACAGCTTTTGCAGATCACATTTGGTTGAAATGCCATATCACAGCTACATTGAAGCCCATGTTCAGTTCACCATCTATATCGAAATCCTGAGGTGCGAAATGTACATTTGTGTTGTTATTGAGGTAATTCAATGCAAGTATATAGCTCCCATCTAAGTTTTTAATCCACGTGGTACATCGTGCCAGGGACTTGCTCAGCGCATGTCTGTTACACATCCGCAGAACTCGGTCGTAGCCACGTGTCGTCATTCAGAGTGTCAGCTGATGATGGTCTGAAAGATATGTTGACGTTATTCATTAGTTTTTGTCAATTACAGATAATATATAGCGGATGTGACAATGTCATTGAAAGTTAGAACACATGAAGTCCTGACATGTGGACATTAACTATTGAAGGTCGTTATCAATTCTTTGATATACACGTGACAAAAATCTTAGGACTCCCGATTCATTTTGATTTTGTTTAATATGTTTATTTATTCATTTGTTAGTAACCGTTAGAAAAAGATGCGTAGATACACCAACATTGCATCCTCTGATATCGAGCTATACGTAGTAAAGAAGTCATACTGAACCCCCAATCCAAGATGAGCACATTAATTTATCGTCCTTTAAAAAAAAAAAAGTTCCTTACCTATGGTCCCTGAATCGGAGTCCATCTGAAAGAGAAAGGAAAACGCGTCATTGTAATAGCTGGAGACATCTTTTAGTCAACAAATAGCTTTACAGTCAGTACGCCTAGATTACAAACAGTGAGGGAGTGAGTGAGTTTAGTTTTACGCCGCTTTTAGCAATATTCCAGCAATATCACGGCGGGGGGACACCAGAAATGGACTTAACACATTGTGCCCATGTGGGGAATCGAACCCGGGTTTTCGGCGTGACGAGCGAACGCCTTAACCACTAGGCTACCCCACCGCCCCAGATTACAAACAGACTGACATGATTAAAACAGAAGTATGCTCTAAGGTTTCTATTTTGAACGAGTGGTAGCTGCAGCGCCCAGATAGTCCAGTGATGTATGGCAGCGTTATTCACTTTAGGCGGGCTGAAAACTGAAGACGGGGATTTGGAATCCAAGATAATGTTTCTACGGTTGTCAGAAACATACAGTTATCAGTGGTTTTATCGGTTTAGTAGTATTGACTGACCTATCTTATTATACCAGGCTTTGGCGCAAAGATGGAACCTACTCTTAAAACGGTAAACATAATTCACTATTTTCTATGTTTCAATGTGCATACCTTCATCAATGCGCCCCAGTCGACTCTCTATGTCCATACTGCTGCCACAGCCGCGATATTTCTGTGTTAAGCAAATACATATATTTTGACATCAAACCAGGTACACTGCAACACGAATCCTATGCTGAACATGTAAACGATGCGATGCTCCATTGTAAGCATTAAATGGAAATTTGTCAAAACTTTTGGACACATAAAAGTTTCCGCTGTGAAAGATATTATATTGATGTCCGGTATGATTTGATTGGAAGTATTTTCCATGTATCTTTATTGAATCTGAACCGAGTGAATAGTTTTCGCCACAAACCCGCATTCTTGCGAAAGGTGTGATCTCCCGATCCATCCAAACTGGGCGGGTAAAGAAATATTTCTTCATGATCACTTGTTTCTCAGAATCTGCAGAACGAGAAAAGGTCATGTATTATATAAATGTACACTTTACCAAATCATATATGCATTTTCTGTCTAATGAAGAGCTTCTACCGTGTAAACTTAGAGCAACATTGTTTTGGGTTGGGTTTTTTTGGTCAAAAGTGGTCGTTTAATTGTATTTTTAGTTCTAAACACAACCAAGTTCCCTTTCATGTTGTTCATAAACACAAAGTCCTGTTAAGCAACTCCGTCTGTGATGTAAGACATCTGAATCAAGTTTTCGTTACTGTGTTTTCAAAAAAATTAACCTGTCTTAGCTCCTCTGAGTGCACGTAAGGCTTCTTCCTGTTGTTTGAGCAGCGCCCCCTGTTGCCACTCTAGCTTCATGTTGGTGTACGGCACTTCCGGGAAGATGCTTCTGAACTCCCTCCGGGACCTATAGTCTGAAAAAACCAACAGTCAATCCATTTCAGCTGTAATGTTGAATCTTTTCAAGGGCATCCGAATCACGAAAGAACTGGGAATTTATCTTAAAAAAACTAAAAATGATCTGCAAATAATTGTATATCCAGTTTTTACCTCTGTGCTTGAGATCTGTGAAGACGTGGACATTATTAGGATTAGCGTTGTCATCTGTCTTGGGTGTAGGCGGTATATCCACTTGTCTGAAACAGGGAACCGTACAGTAAGAAGAACTGATGAAATATAGACATATCAGAGCCACAGTCATGATAATATACTCAGCAGCAAAAAAAAAAACCCGTCAGTACGAATTCAAAATTCGATAGGCACTGTAATCAATTCATTACAGAAATGGACATAATAAGCGGATCAAAAACATTTTTTGTGTACAATATCCTGACACATCCCAAAGATGTTCAGTTGGGTTTAAATCAGGACTAAGGGATGGCCACTGCATAATGTTGACACAGTTCTGCTGTAGGAAGTCCCGTGTAGCTCTGGCAGTATGGGCCCGGGCGTTATCATGCTGGAAAATGTTGTTCCGGTGACGTGGGAAATGTTCTATGACGTGGGGTCGATGTAGCGCTTGGTCGATGTAGCGCAACGCTGTGATGCCGCCTCCTCTCCCTGGACCAAGGTTCTGGAACACCACAGGACCCACTTTCTGGTTCAGGCCTATTCCACCCTATACCATGATGCTTGCACCCCCCCATGAGTCTCTTTCCATAACACAATGGTCTGAGTAACGCTGGCCTCGTCGTCGCCATATTCTTGTTCTGCCATCTGCAGTTGATACGCAGTACTGACTCTCCTCTGTGAACAGAACAGTTCTCCATTACCTGTATCGCCAGTTTTGGCGTTGTAGGGCAAACTGTTGACGTTCACGACGATGACGAGGGGTGAGGATAGGTCCACGGTAAGGTCTACGGCAATGGAGGTTCCCGCTGTTAAGACGTCGGCATACTGTATCAGTACTGATTGGTCCTCCGTGTGTTCCCACTGTCTGGCGTACTGTTTCGGATGCATTAATGAAGGTATTCTGTACATGCTGTCGCACAACATGGCGGTCTTGTCGTCTTGTGTTCACCCTTGGTCTGCCAGTACGGGGGCGATCATTTGTGGTGTTGGTGGCCCGGAAACGTTGCTGCAGCCTGTAGATGGTCCGAACGTTGACCTGGAAGTGATTGGCAACGGCTTGTGCAGTGTGGCCAGCTTCAAGTTTTCCTAGCGCCTGGTTCCTCTGAGCTGTCGTGAGTCACGGCATCCTGCTTACGTTGTAATGCTAATGTTTCAACCAGGTTTTGGGGTGCATTTTATAGGGATGGTCCTTGTGAACAGCACATGCAGCATGAGTTGCATGAAAAACATGGAGAACACCGTACCATCTCCGAGATCAGGTTGCGTTTTTGAGACCATTTCCTGGGTTCCATTCTGATTTGGGAAGGAATGTCCTTGCTCAGGTGAAGTTGGAGATGTTGTTAAAAATATACAATCAAAACAGTAAATGAATTTACAGTTATCCCTTTCTTTTGTGGAAAATTCCAAACTGACGTTTCTTTTGCTGCTTAGTATATTTGATACTTGAATTTGGTTTCGGTTTGATAAACAGGACTACTTGTGGGCCAAGTCGAATCAATTCGCTGTATGAGTTAAGTCCCTTGGTTGGATTTGATTTGCTAATCCGAATCCCAGATTCACCAGGATTATGGCCCTTGGTAACACAGTATCATTACCATGTTTGTATGCTTCGTCAACATAGTAAATGCGTACAAACCGATGTAACTGAAACATTCTTCAAACACACTCATCCACTCGTCCATTCACTGTCTCATCGAGCCAATCATGTTGAAATATATTTCAACATTACGACGCAGGACTCAGACATTCTCATGAGCTATAACAGTACAACTTACCGTTCTTTGTGCTTCCGTACAACTTTAATATCAAGCTTGCCAGGCTCAATCTAGATGGAGAAAATATCACATTTATAGCCAATATTATATCTGACGTTAACTATGTGTGCATTTTCTTCTAGATTATAGGTTTATGCGTAGAAAAGTATTATACGTTAAGTTGTGTAGACTGTACATCTATTACCAATATTGTACTGTACACAATCGATATTAAAATAACGGTAATAACTTGTATAAATAACGTACTGGTCTTCTATTCATTAACAACTCTTCGATCATACGCCTCTCCTCTCTGAGTTTCTGACGATACAGATCCATGTCGTCAAGGAGACGGTTCCTGCCACCTAGAATACAATTGTCAGGAAGTGATATATATTAGATTATGTAAGACATTGATCTGTATATTGTTATCTAAATATTCATTTTCAAATCCATCCTCTGCTTAAATGTAACTACAAGTGGAATTTGCAATTTTAGATTTTTTTAAAGAAAAACAAATGTTTTGTTTAAAGGGCAACTTACTTCCTGGTTTAACCACAACTGTTGGAATAGTTCTTGGCTGAAAGAAAAAAAGAAGGCCAATTAAAACTTGCGTTATGTACGTTCCGTGGAATGCGACTGACAAATGGATTTAATTATTTATAACTGTCACAAACTTAAACCATTTGAAAACACAAACCCTCTCCAATTCCTTTAATCTCATTAGTCTTTCCCATTCTCTGCGCTGTCTCTCCGCCTCTCTCCTTCTGTTCTCAGACTCAAGACGAAGTTCCTCGAGACGACGTCGTGCCTGAAACAAACACCAACAACGGGGGAGTCATTTCAGATCATTTGTGGCAACATTTGTGGCAAGATGTTTCATGTGCTTCCGACCAACGGGAAATACATTTATATCCGAACAGCAAAGCTATTGATGGTTATTGTTATATTGACGTCTGGTAGTACTAGTTATTATCATCACAAAGAATAGGTGTCGTCTCTGATGTTCAGTTACACATTCATGTGTTTATCACCTCTACTAGCCCTATGGAATAGGTTAGGGCGGATAATCGAGACTGATTATTCTCTGACTTTGGACTGTTTGTATACTGACAGGAAGCCATGGCTAAACGGCTAGTTCTATTGCTCGTAGAACACCAGAGCTCCAGATAAGATTTAGCTAATGTGGGTACTGTACCCACTGTATTTTTTTGGAGTGGGTATTATGAATGTTGAGTGGGTATTTCATTTTCCGTTACCCACTGCTTTCAAATATGTGCGTATTTCAGTCATTTTACACACCTAAGTATTGTGTCATTGAGTAAGTTTACTAAGCAGGTATGTTCTGCCTTATGTCATACAAAATCAAAACCAACTTAAATATAAGAGAAATGATTTCATAAAAAATCACTCATCCTATACTGACAGTGCAACTTGATAGCAATCGATGTCTTTTTCATTACGCAAGCGATTTTTATAAGTATATTCCGTACGCATTTGTTTTAAACTCTTTGCGTATCTAACAGTTTAAATGCGTAATTGGTACGCAACAATTATTTTTCAATGCGTAATTATAAATTTTCTATGCGTATTTTACCCAGATACGCAGCTTATCTGGGCCTCTGGAACACAATTGGCACACAGATACCTAATGACTTGTGACGAACAAAGGTGATCATTGAAATAATCATCAGCAATCTAATCAATTATTACGCACCTCTGCTTCTGAATCTCGGAGGCGGCGTTGATTCTCGTCAAGTTCTCGCTGCAATCTCCTCTTATGTTCTTCGTTATCCCTCTCCAGCTTGATCTTCAACCGAGCTTCTTCTAACTGTTAATGTCAAGTATTTAGGAAGTTGTTATTATTGTCCTTTTGTTTCGTAATAGTACAATATATAATGAACGTTGATGTGGTAAGTGAGGATATGGATACGTTGCTTTATGAGATGCTTCCTTTGGGTTTTTGACGAACTGTTTAACAATACTGTCAGCGTATCTAGTGTAAGTATTCAGAGATTGCTCATTCATTGTTAGCTAACGGTATATCAGTGATACCACGGCGTGTGAATTTAATGTTTGAAAATCCCAAGTAATACAGTTGTAAGACGTTTAGCACGCTATACATTGCAGTACTATAAAACTGCTAGAAAGATAATCGGGGCGAACCGGGAATCGAACCCACAATCATGGGTTTCCTACTTTGCCAAGGGATGCGACTCTCCTTACAGCACATTGCTGGGGCTACAGAGCATCGGACCCCCGTGTTCCCGTAACTAATACGAATTTAATGAAGTCTTCTAACAAAATCTACCAAGCAGCAAGCTCTCAAACAAAGATGGTATAGCCATGGAATGTCATCACGGTATCTACTCTGTAATTTGGTACCGATACCTGATGGCATTTTTGGTGATGTGAAATAAACCTCCATCTCATGAACAGACACACTTTATGTACTTTTCGAAAATAATGTTACCAAATTTCAAATATCTGTGTAAATGTGAAGTGTGAGGTCAAGCGATGTGTTCAATTGAACATGTCATTTGCAGTGGAACTCATCAGAAATCTACTCTATTCTTAACAGTTGGTTATTAATATCCTTGCGTTAACCATGTTACCTTGTCGTTTAAATCATCCAGTGGTTTGTCTATGGCTGCTCTGTATCTAGGCTCAGGCTGATAAAGTTAAAGTAGGGTTATAAAGAAGACAAAATGCAAATAACACCAAAGAGGCGATCAAGTCATTAAGATTCTATAGTACTAAAACGTAGTGCTAATTGAAATGTGTTAGTTGTACTAGAGTGAATATTGAACACTTCTATAGAAACAGGTTGAAAAATGAATATGTTAAAATAGTCTATTATACATGAATGAATTATCTGTACCAATTATACTAAAATCTAAATCATTAATTTACTTATACTATTTAATAAAAGAAGAAAAATGTCTAAAAACATCTCAAACTGTTAACTTCTACTACTGTAAGTTTAATAAAGCAGATTACTACAATCTAGTTACATAACTTACCAGTAATGAAGAGCTCTTAACTGGGACCTCTGAAAGTAGACGCAAACACATATATGTGTGTGGCTGAGTGAATCTAACTGTAAAATGTCGGAAACTGTGTCATAATTTGTTCAGTGCGTTCCATGATTTGAGTCCCGTTATCCACTTTTGACTCAGCCTTCGTTCGAAGGTTTGCGAGAAATGTTTCCATTTAGATTTAAGCAAAACGTTCCAGTATTTAACCAAAAAAAGACATGAAGGTTAAATGAGTGTTTATTGGTACATTAATACTTACCCATTTGGATAGGGTTGTATTTCGGACCTTGCCTGCAAAACAGATACCTTGGCGTAAACGTACCCGATGTCACAATGATCTGCTCAAGATACACCGGTTGTAGTCCGGGTAAGAATATGTAACAATCGTTGCTCATAATATCAATCACTGGATTATCTGGTTGCTTATTTACATTGGACGTATAGCGTGGATATAAATTACCCATCACAAGTTTAGACTCACGTAAAGCACTCACTATATGTTATGCATATATGTGTGGTTACATCGAAGATGAATTTCTCCACTAACTTTGGGGAACCAACTGCAAACTTTATGCAGATGAATTGCACGAGGATCATGCATTAAATTTCACTCGAAAATGTTTTACAATACATCAGATCATGTGTAAACAGTACCTTTAAACAGTATGGAAATTTTTGCAAAATCTAGTTTAGAAGAGTTGACTTAAGTAAGTGGCTACATTTACACTAGTGAGTCTAAACGTTTGATGGGGAGTATAGTTCAGTGCGGCGATAAACAACAAACCAGATGATTCTTTCAAAGGATTTACGCAAAGATTATTCAAATATTCCTCAGAATGAACCTAATGTTATCATTAATTCTTCAAGTCACCTCTACAGAAGTAGCTACTGCCTGTGAACAGAAAAATGCAAATGTGTACATTCATCAAGAGCATCGTTATCTTTGTGCAACGAGTTGCTGACCTATGACAATCTGCTTACCATTGATAGGCTGGTGCAGGTTGTTGTATGATGATAGGTCTGGTGTCTTGGTAGTGTATAGGTTGTAGGGGCTGGACTAGTGGCACCTGAGGGACTGAAACAACCAAATATGAGTATATTGAGACAACCATTCACCATCATGTGTATGTAGCCACATAACATAAACCTAACAAACATCTTACACGACATAAAACAACATTGACATCAACTAATCCATATTTACATAACATAAACCGCATTTACCTAACATAACACCATTGTTACATGACATAAAACTACATTTACCTACAACCATAGTTACGTGGCATAAAACAACATTTACATGAAAAATTCCATATTTACATAACATAAACCACATTTAAATAACTTAAATCCATGGTTACATGACATAAAACAACATTTACAGGAAATAATCCAAATTTACATGTCATAAAACCAAATTTAAATAACGTAAATCCATGGTTACATCACATAAAACAACATTTACATGAAATAATCCAAATTTACATGTCATAAAACCACACTTAAATAACGTAAATCCATGGTTACATGACATAAAACAACATTTACACGAAATAATCTATATTTACATAACGTAAATTCGCATTTGAATACCATAAAACCACGTTTACATTTGGCTTAATCTGTATCAGTAAATGACATTAAAATATGCAAATGTACTTACCTAGACTTATGTCCCTGGCCGCCATTATGCCATAACCACTGTCCATTGGGGCTCTATAGCTGAGAGGTGCCGGTGCTGGAACTCTGCTTGGTGTGGGAAACATGAAGCATATATGTATATTGGTAGAAAATGTATGATGTTAGTAACTCGCAGGAGTAATGGAACAAGACGTAGCACTTTCCCTGCAGTGCTAGCCAGTACGTTGCAATAATATAATCCACTTGTTTGTTTCATACCTACAGTCTTACCTTCAAACTTGCAGCAGGTCAGGCATGAAATTTATATTGCTGAATAAAATATATCTATCACCGGCAAGTAAATAGATAGTCGAGCTTTCATAGGAATCTATGTGTACACACGTATTGGAAATTTTCTTATGTGGAGAGGTGATTGATTAAGTTAAGCCTTTCAAGGATCTCTCTTAAGGAGAAGTGGAGCCGAATAGCATATCTTTTATGTGCGTTTGACGACATTCATTTCGTTTGAAAAGAATTCCACAAAGCATTATCGCCTTAACAAGCCAATAGATTCACTATGACTAGCGTAGCAACGGTGTGTTTGGATACTGTTCTGATACATGCATGTCGCCTAATATAACGTGACTTTAAGCATATGTTTTAACATACATTTCATATGGAGTGTAAGGTTTCGTACAAAAGACGAACATTTAAACATGAAACACAAAATTAATTGAGATAGGGTTGATCATTGATTCAATTCAGTGACATTGATGGTACTTTATACTCAGTTCTAAAGCAACTAAAAGCATTAGTAAAAAGCACGATTTAAAGATCTTCCCTAATCAACAAATACATAACGTCTACAGTTTAAAAAAACAATGCCCGGAGATTTGGGTCTGTAAAATGTAAAAACTCCTTTCAAGAATTCTCTTTGAGACATCAACAGTTAGCCAGTGCATGAGGTAATTGTGAGGTTGTAGTTCATATATCCTGTATACTGATCTCTGACAGAGACATCTACATACTGCTTTGTGGAAAACGTCAGTCACTTTTATGGAACGAAAATGACAATTGACAAGGGAATTGTCTCGAAGTACATGAAATCAGTACGAAGATAGTCACATTAAATGAAATATCGATAGCTTTCTTTATTGTTTTGAATAAAATGAATTATTGAAGATCTATGTAGATTCAGACATCAGTATACAACGGAGAATGATAAAGCCGTGCAGGAAGGACAGAAAGTGAATACGTTTCTTTTCAATCCACCATTTCCTACTATGACAGTAGATCTGGGAGAAATGTGTATCAGCTAATGTGATAATGCCACGCTCATGCATGCTCTCGGTGTTTCAAGATGTTTGACAGATTTTAGTTGAATGCACAATAGATCAGACTGTGGAAAGTATTCATGCATAAAGAATACAGTGATAATAACAGACCGTCGATGCTCACATCAGCCAAGCATAGTTCATAGATGTACAACACAGCCTTTTCGGTAGTCACAGGACATATCTGCTAAATGCAGTCGATTTTCGATTCCGACTTATCATGAGCATGGTTTTATGAATCACTGTAAAATACTGAAGATACCAAGAAAAAGGTGGAAATACACCACCCTGACTCTCATGTTACGGTTTTTATGTTTTCTATTTCACTTACATAAGAATCATAATCCGACCAATATACCTTCATAAAACGCAAACTGATCTACTGGACGTATAATATTGCCTGTGTTTGGTAGGAACATTTAAATGACGTCAACACTAATAAAACGGATACTTGATTTGGAATTGATTAATACAATGCCACCATAAGAGCTTACAACCCAAAAGGTCAATACGTTACGCTTACAGGACATACGAGAATAACCTTTTGATGTGATGGAAGAATTCAAACTTATCTTTTACTTTTCTCCAGTGGCATGCCTTGATGATCAGTAAAATCAAAAAGCGCTCATTCTTCCGAAAATAATCAACTTTGAATATAATGTCAGGTCGGTCTAATCATGCCGACAATATACACCCTCCAATATATCCCCTTGACGTTTCCAATACATGCTGATGTGATGCAGCGACGTCCAAGGTCATGTCTATGTGCACACACACATATATAAGTGCTTCGAAGGATTCAAACATCACACTTCACAAACACATATCTTACTGTTCTGGTTTCTCTGGCTTGACATCTCTAGGACAAAAATACAACGTGAAAAGTTAAAAAGAATTCCTAAAAGAATCTACACATCAACTACAGTGACACGAGTGACACATCTAGAAATAAAAGAAAGATGAGGGTTAATCTTCTAAAGCACTGCTTGGCCTCTAGAGGCATCTTCAAGGAAGAAAACTCACGGAGCTGTGAAGTTTAACCGATGGGGTGGATCAATAGTACCCAAATTAGCCCTCTCACTGGAAGCTATCGGTTCCCTTGGTCTTGCTCGTGGTTCGCTAAATGATGGCAAGCTCATGGGACGGGGAGAATAATCAGCTCTAGCTGTACGGGGAGACCCTTGCCTGTTGAAAATTTAGGCAACATTTGTATATGCCTGGCAGGCGTATAGCTTCTTCTTGGGTCTCTTAACGTTTACACTGTAGTGTATATCCTTACCGGGAACATGACAGACTATTAAACTATGATTATCAAGAATCCAAAAATCGTATCGCCTTCATAAGTATAATGTGATGTCCGTATAGGAAAGCTAACATGATAATGTCATAAATCTGACAAAGAAAAAGTAACGCAGTAAGGATATGCCTATTGGCATTATGATATGTTATGATATGTTGTATCTCACGAAACGAGGAATTGAAAACACGCAGTGTTTCTGTTTAAGAGATCCACACAATGTAAAAACGACAACATGATGTATTGCAATAAAGATAAGAACATTTATGAAGCTCAACTGAAACAGTTGAACTGGACATGAATACACAATGTCATTAAAAATGGGCATGTAAATATTGCTGATATTCAGTGACATCTATTACTTTCTTCTTACAGAAAGTAAGTGCAGATAACTAAGAACACTATTGCCTCTTAACAATTACTGAGCAGTGTCTTTGAACACTTAAGTTATACTTTACTTATGTTATTTTTATATATATTTGTTTTCTTAGTTTTAAACTGCCTTTTCAGTTTCATAATTTTGATACCGACTAACACACACTCTACACAGGATAGGTGTTACTACAGAGAGAGTTTATTATAAATAGCCTACCAGATGACTCTACGGACGGGAGGAGATGCTTGGGGTACTACTTGTACCGGAACTGTTACGGTGGGTGGTGGTGAGATTGAACCATGTACTACTACAGGTGGTGGTGCACGAGGCCGCCTTAGCAAGAAAGGACAGACATGTATAAGTACTACACCTTCTTATCATTAATAGGGTCACTTATATTAATTCACAAATGAGACCTTAACTGCATTTGAAGTAATGTGGAATAATGTATTTTTTTCTTCATCACAGAAACAGCCCAAAGGCATTCAAAGTGCCTGTTTAATTGTCACTGAGAAATATATATTTCAATCATCTATTCCATTACTCGAACTTGATAATGGGTGACGGAAGCTTTGTATCATGATTTACAATACAATGAAACACTCTCTATGTGCATATGCAAAGACTAACGAAATCATCATTTGACTATAACAATCCATTTACTCTATAAATTAACGTTGTTGGGTAATGTACACTTGGATTAAGACAATCTATTTCTGGAATATTTAGAAGTACAGTTGAAATAAAATGATCTGATTAAAACATTGCTTCTTACGGAACGTCGAGGTATTCTTTTGTAAAGACATGTATTAAATATTGTTTTAAAAGGCAATGAACTCTGAACAATATTATTAAAATGATAACTCTCATCTACAAATTCTTGAATGTATATGAATAACTATGTATAATAGGTATGTGATATCTGGATCAAACATCCATTTCAAGCATTCTTAATGTATGATGACAACAGTGCCACAACAAAACTACCGGAAAGTGCGCATCTAGCATTATTATTAAACTCTGTACTATGAGATAACTGAACTTTTATTATACTTACTTGTTTTCATCGTACAGGAACAGTGTGTGATATGGCCGAACCCTTGAGTCCCACCTTGACCGATACTGTGTCCAGTCAGTGCCACCTAGAGGCTTTAACCTCTCCGGGCCTTTCTCCGGATCCAGGTAGCCGGATGCATTGACGCTCATATCCTGGATCCTTTCTCTGTAACAGGCAATAATACGGTCATAAAGATCTAGCAACAGAAGCTAAATACGTGACCTGGAAATGAGATCAAAGAACGGTTTCTCTGTTATGGAGTAATACTGTGGATAAAGCGTTCATCGTGAATCCAATATCGTGTTTGATTCGCGAAACAAGCACATTCTGTAAAACTCCTTTATCGTGTCCTAACTCCCGAAATCACTCGAATGCCTGAAAAGGATTCGTAAATTCCTATTTAAATGCTGCATGTATTTCTCTTCACACACTCTATGGTACGAAATGGAAACATCGGATGGCCTACTAATGCCTTCCTTAATGCATACAGAGGTGGCAATATATTAAACAATTGATGAAGTGACAGCTTAAATAATAGAGTCAATGTCGGAATAGAGTAATTCAAATGTCAGTAAACCTTTGGCCAGAACATTGTATATTCTGCCCCGGTCATACAATATTCTTGGTGGAAGTAAATGAAACTTATGAAGAATCTGCCGGTGATGCGGGTCTCAGACGTTCTTTGGTGCTGACAAACCAAGAAGCATAATACAACCGGGATTTGAACCTACAATCCTTGGTTTCACGCGAAGAACTTTCCGAAGTGCTGCGCCCAGGACGACCCTTCCACCTTTGTCCCTAAAGCATTATATTCAACCGCGATTCTGACTCATTTGATACCTAAATAAATATTCCTGTGATATGTATACAGGTGGGAAAGTACGTTACATGCTGAAAACACTTGAGGGGCAGAAATGGTCAACGAGCGTTGTGCGTGAGACAGGTCATTATCCTGTCTGCGTGGGTTCGAATCCCTGATTTGTCCATCACACTTTGTTCCTGTCACCCAACTACTTCGACCTCTCCCACCCCTACATCAAGTAGACACAATTAACCCTACATTTACATCACCAATAATTGGTAGGCACCTTTGTTTTGCTGCATTTCTCTCAGCCATCTGCAGCTGGAGGTCTTCCTTGTAAAGGTTCTGCCTCCTTTTCTTGGCACTGGCCCTCTCGCCATATTCTGGAACAATGCATATAAGGACATCTGTAAATGTACATAACTGTTTGTCCATTCGACAATCAGTTTACACCTGTATAGTTTGATTCAGTCGAACGTGATCCCCATTTCATACGAAATGATATGAATGAACGAACGTGCGGTATAATATTTTGCAAGCCGTACAAATGTCAGCCTATTTCAAGAGAAGAAACTCGAATCGTCCAAATCCAATTCCACTCAAATTCACATACTCCTGTAGGCTAGGAACGCCGGTACCCATGCAAAATGAAACTGGCATAATAATGTGAAGTGTTGTTACTACATTAAGTCACATTACATCAGTCACGGGGCGGTGGGGTAGCCTAATGGTTAAAGCGTTGGCTCGTCACGCCGAAGACCCGGGTTCGAATCCCCACATGGGCACAATGTGTGAAGCCCATTTCTGGTGTCCCCCGCCGTGATGTTGCTGGAATATTGCTAAAAGCGGCGTAAAACCAAACTCAGTCAGTCAGTACATTAGTCACTGGTTTGGCTGTCCCAGACTCGAATATTTTCCCAACGCCATCACATAGCTGGAATATTGCAAAATGCGCCTTTAAACCACAGGCAAATAAATAAATAAGCCACAATGACATGAACCGATGTGTAACTTCAATCAAAATAATGTAATGATTTCCCCCAGGATTGTGATCCAAACAGTCACTGTATCAAACTAATGGCCTAATAATTCAACATGACATGTCAATGGATGAGATCAGGAACACTATAAAAGCCATCAATTATTTCAAATCAAACATACAACACAGAATGTCCACTGAGTAAATGTTCGACATAAGTATACTTCACCTCCGACATCAAGCGATGTGAGATAGTACCCGCCAGGCTTGTAGCCAGAGTGGTGTGTGGTCGTCGTTTCATACATCTTGTTTTCTTGTTTTCACTCTTTCTTCAGCCGGCAGTTTCTGTTTCTCCGTGTTCACCAAACACGTTATAGGATGTACGTCCATTCATTCTGAAATACGTACAGATAAGTAAATGTTGAATAAGTGCTTCATTTTCCGTTTACTAAAATGAGTGTGGACGTAAACTATCCCTTCTCCATTTTGTAACGTATTGACCAGACAACAAAGCGGCCATGTTGTTCAATGGCGGCCGGGCTGTACGTCTGGTCCCAAGATACAGTCGTCCCGGTAAGAATAGAAGCCGAAGAAATATGCGATCACATGTCCCTCTTCAGTGCTATCCAGCATAACCAAGGAGGTACAATGAGCGAGTACTATTCAGAACTACCGTACGAATGGGGGACACGATTGATCTCCCTCCCAACGTGTCATTCCTATACACCTATTATCAACCACGGCAGGGAACAGAACAGACTTTCAAATACTAAAGCCTTATCTCATTGTTCAAATCATTGTTGAATATTAAAGTTGTGTTTGCCTAGCGTTTAGTTTCAAAGGGTCGACTGGTTCGATTTTGTACAGCATAATTTCTTTTTACGATCGACAAGAAATATCATTTACAGGCGTAGTGGTGTTAGGAGGTAATGCCTTTCAATTAAACCTGTCATGTTGGAAAGGCCGTTGTGCCTTTGTAAATATACAAAATTGGTTTAGCTGTTTGATTTAGAGCACCACTTGATGTATGTGCAGAGAGTATATATGTGACGGAGCCTGAAAAAAACACAGCCTTTAGAGCCATTTTAAAGCATATCGATATGTTTATGTAATTATCGCTAGTTTATATGCATGTTGCACGAGTTTTATGGCTGTCAAATATTTCATATCATGTAATAAAAAATGACAAAAGTAGATATATTATAGTACTAAATGAGTATTAACAGTTTCAGGAGAACTGAAGAAGCATAATGTTGATAGGATTCCCATTTTTGCCGCATTTAGAGGTGATCGAACAGAGGCGGTGTGTGATAACCACTCATCTCATTGTCAGACACACAACTACAATCACGTTTCAAGACTCAAAGGATTTGGAAGCAGACAAAGCATGTGTACGAACGAATGTAATTCTAACACCATGCAGATAAGCGTAGTAATATTAGATAATATGATACAATTCCCATCACGTGATAAAGTGCCATTATCTAGGTTTTATATGAGTTTGGTAGTAGTAGTAGCAACAGAAGTTGTAGTAGTAGTGGTGGTGGTTGTGGCGGTGGTGGATACCAGGCGCATTATGAATTGACTGTCGTCGTTCAAGAAATAGTTGAAGCATCTGAAGCAGTAGTTGCATAGTAACAGCAGTAGTGGTAGTAGTAGTAGTAGTAGTAGTAGTAGTAGTAGTAGTAGTAGTAGTAGGAGTAGTGGTGGTGTAGGTGGTGGTGGAAGTAGCAGCAGTAGCATTACTGGTCTTAAGCTCGACATCCATGCACAATTACAGAGGTAAACTACCAGTATATATACACACTGATAAAGATTATATCAACCATTATGCATGACCTCATAAACATCTAATATATAACCACAACGTTAATATATCCCATTATGTACACATCTAGGCGTATAGCTGACACAAACATATTCCCATACTCCGCTAGCTGTGTCACAAAGCCTCCTCGACAGTTCAGTACACCAGGACACTGTTTGGGTTATATTTCTGGCTTGTTCTCCCCTCCTGAGACGTTATCGACCTCAACCAAACAACCACAGTCCACCGTTACTATGTACAACGTGTTACTCACTGACCAAGTGTCATTGTACACATTCTTTAATCCACTCCAGTCCTATATTAACACGTTGCTTATGTTGGTTGGGCGCTAAGCTTTATATTTATTACGGGTAGGTCAGCACATACTATCACTTTCACTGGGTACAATATGGGAAGGTTCAAATGTATGTGTGTGTGTAGACATTTTGTATGATGTAGATAGATTACAGAAGTACTGAGATGTATAAAAGGTGAGTGAGTGAGTGAGTGACCGAACAAGCCAAATTCCAGCAGCTCCATCCCTCGGCTTCTACATCTCACCATTTTGGGAAAAACTGAGTATGTTCTTTCTTTCAAACAACGTCATATCCTATTGCTCAAAAGTTGTTTGATCACAGTGACAACGTTCAAGGCCCCAGAGTAGCTTTCATGACGACATGCGGTGCACATTTCCAAATGTGACGCTCCTGTGAGAAAAATCATGTTCGATGCAATTCCTAATTTTGACCATATGTTCCAGTGCACTTTTCACATGAACAATTGACTTGACTTTGCATGTGTTTGTGATTATATTTGAGATTTCTTATGATTATGGAAAGGTAGTTGTGATTCTTTATGTACAAGATGGGTTATACGCTAGTTAAGTATTATACATCATGTAGATTAATACAGTTATAATACAAATACGATAAATACACCCGAGGAACGTATCGAGCAAATTTTTCAAACACCCTACCAAATGGTAAATACTTATGCGATCATTAAAGTGTTACCCTTTGGTTACATACATTTGGAAAGGTAAATACGCTTTTGGGGTAAAACTATTACTGGGCAATCTGCTGTTTTGTGTCAAGCATTAATAATGGACTTTATTGTGATTCTGGAAATGTTATATATGATTATCCATTTTACGTCATATTGCTTTTTCCCAGAACTATGCAGCTACAGATATTTAACAAAATAACAGTAGTAATTTAGTGTGTAATGTACAATCACTTTTTATACACATATTTCGATTACCGTGATCTTTCAGATAAATACCCCTTGAGTCACTCGTATAATGTACCCTTGCTGTTTGTAGACGTAAGATTGTGACACATGTCTAGATACTAGTAATTCTAGTATTGGTTCACCCAACATGAATATGCGAAGGGTGTCATTATCCGACTGTAAAAAGTACCGTTACACTGCTGCAAATACTATACAGTGTTTTACGTGAGGTAAGAAGATACATAGAAACCCTCCGAGTGTCTGGGTAAATGAATCAGGTACACATTGAAATGTCCCTTTCGATATATTTCTACGTGCCCAACAGTAATAGTCCCCTTGACAATATCCATATGTCCCTCATCCTGTCAAATAAAACCCCTATAAGAAAGCACATAGATATATAAAGACAAAGGTTTGAATGAGCATTAAATTTAAAAACGTACAATTCAAACAAAGCTGTTTATAACATTTGTTTCTTTAATTTGACATTTCTGACCTTAAAGTATTAGTTTGGAATATGCATATTGTGAAATCTATTAGAGAGTGGTTAAGTTAAAAATCTTTTGAGCTCAATTCTTTTCTGTTTATAAATTTGTTTAAACAAACAACAAACTGTCCGACTGTGGGATTTCCAGATTAAGTGGGTACGGACCAGATTTTGGACATTGTTTGATTAAGTCTGTGTCTGTTATCAGTCTGTTATTAAGTAATGTAATCTTTAAATTCATGAGGGTATGAATAAAATTAATATGTTTAACTTAATGCTCGATTTGTAATCAAACTGAACACACGCACCTGTAGCATCTACTATTTACATGTCTATGCTTATAGCGTGCTCTATAGATACTTAACACACCATCTCATGTATAAATGTATATGTCTCGCTTAAATAGTCGAAATGTATCATAGAGTGGCACTTTTAAATATATATAAACAATAAAAAACACATACGAAAAATATCACATATATCAAATACAACTGATTATTAAGGACACGTTAAGCTCACTTTGTATTCAAATTATATTGATGGATCATGCCAAGGGTGTCATTATATAAGTGTTACTTGTAGGTGTTATATGTAAGTGTTATTTGTAATGAATGTTTTCTGTCGATTAAAAGCTGACATGTTCGATCCTTTGCAGTGGGGACAGTGTTACTTGTTAGACCCTTCCTTCGGCGTCTTAGATACGCAACAAACTGCTCCTGTTCTTCAAACCTCACCAATATCTTAAACTAAAACATCTGAAGGTACCCCTTAATCTAACTCTGAACATACCTGAGTTAAAGATACATCCATTTACACCTTGTTTTTCTCAAATAATCCACTTTTAGCTGATAATCCGGGCACTAGCTGTGTATATCCATGCAAGTGGTTGTCACTTTCATTGTGTATTGACTGGTTGTCAAGCGAACACCCCTGAAAATGACAAGCCCATAGCCACCACTTAGCTGAAATCACTTGGCGATTTATTTGTCAAGTCAAGCCCATTGGATCCTTTTGTGAGGCGTTTAGTTACCCCTTTTCACGGTATCAATGACATTGTGTCCCCAAACCTGGTCTCTTTCTGCTAAAGCAAACTCATTACTAGTTCGACTGTTTAATTCCCAATGTACGACCGTGTCGAATTCTATAGATGTTTATGAAAGGTTTATTTACAACATTTCGACATGGCTGTGTTGAAATGTGCAACCACCTGAGAAATATTTACCTGGTATAATAGCCGTTATACGACACCGTGCCATGAAATAGACACGACAATAGAGAAACCCGTCGCATTCACCGTGCGGTCGATAATAGGCGACGTATAACTGTCAGTAAGGTAGGTTAGTAGGCAGGCCTGATCTGAACGAATATTGAATTATCAATCACTGATCGTGAGAAATAAGAAGGAAATTGGGATAACTGATACTGACCGCTAAGTGTTGTGGCGTTCCCTACATAACTATGATTGATGGAAGAATCTCGGTAGTGTTGTCTTGATAGACGTTTCTGATAAGAGTATTCTAGAGAATCTGTTATAAGTCAACTATGTGGTCTCAGTGTCGCTTTAAACGATATTCATGCGAGTTGATGTAAATAGAACAGTTTACCTCATTGCTGAAACTATCAGCATATGTGCTGTACAGACCAAGGAGTTAGTGAGTGAGTTTAGTTTGACGACGCACTCAGCAATATCCCAGCTACACGACGGCGGTCTGTAAATTATCGAGTCTGGACCAGATAACCCAGTGATCAACAGCATGAACATCGATCTATGCAACTGGGTGAGTGAGTGTTTGAGTTTAGTTTTACGCCGCCCTCAGCAGTATTCCAGCTATATGGCAGCGGTCTGTAAATAATCGAGTCTGGACCAGACAGTCCAGTGAACAACAGCATGAACATCGATCTGCGCAATTGGGAACCGATGACATGTGTCAACCAAGTCAGCGAGCCAGACTATCCAATCCCGTTTGTCGCTTCTTACGACAAGTATAGTCGCCTTTAGTGGCAAGCAGTTGCTGAAGACCCATTCTATCCCCGATCTCTACGGGTTTACGCAACTGGGATACAATGACATGTGTCTACCAAGTCAGCGAGTCTGACCATCCGAACCCGTTAGTGGCCTTACGACGGGTATGTGGAGGCCAATGTTGATAATCGCAGTGTATATGGGATTCGAATAGCGTATGGGTTAGT